GCATTCGATGCAAATGAAGGGGCATGAATAAGTAAATGAACTATCTGCCATCCTGCCAGCACACCTATCACCTATGCAGATGAGCTAGACTAGCACACGCACACACAGCCATTTTTGCCGCCATTCAAACATAGATCTCATCTGCATCAAGTGCGTTGCGCAACAACAAAAGGCGGGTGGGGGAGGAGAAAAATGTTAAAAAAAAAAAAACGAAACATACAGAAAATCGTGCAAAGTGTCTGTAAACATTTATTTCAAAAATTTATGAATATTGCTCTCTCGCTCAGCAAAGGCAGCGGTGACAAACAACAATTCCTTTCGCCCTCCCCAACGTCGTATCTCTTTTGCCATTCGGCTTTGAAATTGTTCCAGGCAATGCCATTGTTTACCCGCTTTTCTCACTGTGTATGTGTGTGTGAGTGTGTTTGTGTGTGTGTGTTTGTGTGTCTGTGTGAGTTATTGTTTCGAGACATGATATTTTACTGTTTTGTTATGGAATTCAACAGGGTATATCCAGGGCCTGGCGTCGACATGCCATAGTCGAAAGGCACTTTAAGCACTTTTCGAATTAAGCTGACTTTGTCACTCGTATTTAAGTCACTCGCATTAAACGGAAACAGAAACAGAAATCCATCTCTCTAATGTATTAGTTTGTCATTTCATTAAAAGTTATCAAAGTTCTCTTACCATTTGCATTTGAGATTAAAAATAAGTTGAAGAAATTCTAAATAAATTGTAATCTTCAGAAAATAAACTAAAAAACATCAAAAAATCATATTAGCATTTTCAACAATAACCTCGTTAATTAAAAATAGAAAACTGTTTGGGAAAAGCCCATCGTTAGCAGCGGGAAAACAAAGTAAAATCATTTACTTAATGGCTACAAAGAAAAGAAACCAATCCAATTTGTTTAGAATGTCAAAAGTTGTTTAAGGCTTGGGTGGCTTTGGTTGGTTAGCATTTCGGTTGCTCGACACCAAATTGTTGTTTTCAACTATTCCAGTTTTTCGCATTTGTATCATTAGGAGGTTTTTCCGTTTTACCGTTTTCCCGCTCACGAGGAATCCGAATGTTGGGAAATAGTTTCCCCTTCGTTTTTCTTTGCCACTCCTTTCATGCTTCGCCCGTCGTCCCCATGTTTTTCCTTTTTCTTGTTGCGTAGCGCATTACAAATGACAGCCGCCTGTCACACACACACACACACATGTGCAGGGGTGGGTGGGGGTAGAGAAAGCCACACAGACAGGCGCACACGTGTAGCAGTCATTCTATACATACATACATGGCCATTAGTGATGTGTTGTTGTCGTTATCATGCACAAAAAAGTTGTCGTCTCTGCTTAACTTTACGCTGCCTTACTCCACTTTACTTGTAGGTCTTCCGAAGCCCCCTTAACACCCAGCTCTTCCGCCAGCCTTAACCCCACATTACCCAGTTTGCCACACTGGAAAGTAAGTACAGTAATATCATATTAATATTGACTTTTTTAACACTTTTTTTAAACTACTTTATTAATACATTTTCTTTACTTTTTCTTCACACAGAAATAACTTTTCATCTTCTTTTTAGTTTCACAAAATTTAGTTTATTTCACTTTTTAGCTTCACTAATTAACAAATAATAAAATCTTAAAAGCCGCAAACTTTATTTCGATCTAGAAATTCCATCCATTTCATTGTGAAAATTGTTTTCCACAGTGCTTTCCTCTTAGCCCTAACAAGTGCCTAGTCACAATTTTCGGTAGGAGAAATTTTAGTTGGTCAGCCAAGTGAATTACAAGCTCAGCCCTTAACCCTTGACTCGCACCTCGTTTCTCCAGGAGCCCCCCCAGCTTTCACATTCCTCGTGTTAGTTGTTATTTAATTATCATTTTTCATTGTTGTTTCGGGTGTGGAAAATGTTGTCATCGCACATGTTTGGAGAGCTTCGGGATTTGGGGAGGGTCATAGGTGAGACGACAAGGAGGAGGATGAGGTTGATCCATCTGGGGGACTTTTGTCTGCGAGTATTTTGGGAAATCTTTTGTGCTTTGGTGCCAGCCCGCCGCCCAGTATGCAAATGCAATTATAATTTCATATATCAAATAGACTACAGTGCGGTACATAATGCTAAAATCCAGGCTTTATAAAATTAGAAAGCAACATTTTTTGGGGGAGAAAATGCAAACAGAAATTGCTACATTTTTGGATTAATTATATTTTGATTTTGGGTGTGTAAATATTAGGTAAGTTGATATATTTTTTAGAATTTTTATTTAAAAAGAAATATATCTACGAATTAAGTTATTATGATGGTACTCTGATTTTTTAGTCTTAAGAAAATGTATTTTGTTTTTATGGTTTTCTGGCCATTTTTCCTCATCTTACAATTCCTTTTCATAGATTTTCTTTAGGCTGCTTTGCAATTTCCTTCTCATCTCATAATTTGCCTTCACTTTTTTCCTATTTTCAGTCATTTTTCAATTTCCTATTCTTTCAGAATTTTCCTTTAACATTCAGCTTTCTTTTCGTTTCTCCGATCGATTTTTCTTTCTTAATTTCTTGTCTTTGCAGGCCATTTTTCAATCACTTTTTGATACATTTTTTTTAGCGACATTTTCCTTCTATATTTGCTTTTCTTTATCTCTTTTCTTTTTCTCCTTTTAAGCCAATTGAGATTTTTCCTTTAATCAGAGCCAAGAAATATATCTCATTTCTGGTTTTCCACCTCACATATTATTATGCAAATAAGGCCAAGCAAGGGAAGTTTACTTAACCTTTTATTTCACATTTTTAGCCATGTTATTCAACAGAGTATCGAGTAAATAGACCCAAGAAAACAATAAAATGTCAACTACAATCAATTTTTGGACCAGGACACACCTTTCCTTTGGGGCTGGCGAAAGGGTTTGCCCCCCGCTCGAATTTCCCCCATTTCCTTGCGACTTGGCGAACATTTTAATGAGATTTTCGAATTCCAAAGAAATTCAAAACGTAGCTTATTCAACTTTTTCTATGTATATGTGTGAGCCACACTTTCTTTCTCTTTCTAAGTATGTGTCTCTCTGTGTGTGTGTGTGTGTGTGTGTTGGGGATATATCTTTTGGCTGGTTTGTGTATTTGTGGCAACAGGCAACAAGCCAAGTTAATTAGCAAAAAGCAGATAGCGTCACACAAAAAAGGAGCAACCAACTAAGGCCATCTTAAGGTCTGATTGAGCAGCAAGTGAAAGTGAGGTGGTGGATGGCAAGGATGGGTTAGCGGAAGGGGTTGAGTAGAGGGACCGAAGGCCAAACAAAAATGAGAGGTGGCTGAATTCTGCGGAGACCTCCACTTAAGTGCGGGTTTTTGATGTCGGCGCAAATTGCAAAGAAAATGATTTATTATCTGCAAAAGGCAATTAAGTAAAATTGCTTGAAAATTATTTGCTTCCCTTTCCCCTTTCCCCAAAAAAAAAACAAAGCCAAGACAGAAGCAAAACCAAAATAAACACAAATGACAGCCACCCCTTTTTGGGCCAAATTGAGCGAACTGGAAAACTGGATTAGTTAAAGTCTCTTAATTATTGTATTTGTGTGTAACTTTTTAAAAATATTCGAAAATTATTTAAAAATTATTATAAATTATAATTTAAAACAATTTCAAGACATATTCTGGGATAATAAATGACAAATATTAAATCCGAAAGCCTATTATATAAAATTGTTTTAAAACTTTTCTGAAAGTAATTTAATTTGTTGTAGTTTTTCCCAATTTGTTTTAATAACTATTTTTATGCATTACCAAACCAAGCTTACTAAGCAAAACTAAATTCCAATTAAGCGAAAACTTTTATTTTGTGATAAAACTATTTCACATTCGTTAAAAAGTTTACACATTGCCAGCTAAAGTTTCATTCAAAATAATAAATTCTCAAAAAAAGAGAGATTAAATATAAATTTCAAAATAAGGTAACTATTAAAATTGTAACAGAAATTAGAAATTTAACAACAAAAGAAGAGCAGAAGTTGAGACAATTTATTAAGCAGAAAATCTTGTTGGCCAGATTTGAGAGGACTTTAAAATGTCTTTGCATTTCAAATTGGTATCCCATCAAAAGGAACTCACCTTTCTCTACTACGGTCCTCTAATTCCAACGCTCAGCCAACATGATTTATAAGTCGAATTAGAAGGAGCCGCACGACGGGCTGGAGAACAAGAGCGAATTAATTACGAATTCAAGCCCGAAGAGGTAATTAATTCACTTCATTTTCTTCTGCCCTGCAAAGTTGCCTGAAAACCAAACCAAACTCAACTCGACTCGATTCAAGTCAACCATTTTGTTGACAGACAAACAAATGCTGGGCTAAATAAGCAAACATGTGCAGGCACCTACTAGGACATTCATGAATTCATTGCTTACATTACGCCAAGGATATTTCAAATATTTCTTTTCAGATTTCCACCAAAGCAACTTCTAATTGCTTACGAATTTATCACAATCTTCCGAAAAGAGTCTTTTGTAAATTGGAAAAGTATTTAATAAGTTCGGTAAATAAGTGTTATTTTTTAAGCCTCATAAAGATACCCTTTTTATATTATTCTTAAAGAATTGGCAATAAGCTACATTGGAAAATTTACTAAAATCAAAGTTTTTAAGCATAGTTATTAAGTTTTATAATTCTGAAGTTAATATTTCCCATCCTATAACTAACTTTAACTATTTATAAACCCATAGAAAACCAAACCTTTAAATCTAAAAAATTATTTATCATTAAAAATAAATAATTTTTTTAGTTTTTACTTTAATTAGATTGAAAATTATTATATATTTTATTTTAATACCAAGAGAGTGTACAAATTTTGACATTTTCCTGTCTCAAACCCTTTGAAAGCACATTTTTCGAATCCCAAAACCTTCGGCTTTTAGTTTTGGTAAACATAACCGCAACATGTAACTTGTTGTTGTGTTTCTAGGTCGGTATTTGTGCCTTACTGCTAAGGTATTGGCCATATTTACATTTGTCAAGCACTCCACTCACCTTTGACAACGGTGTTTTCTCTGTCTCTTAAGCTTTCTCCGCTAAATCCTTCTCCGATTCGGAACGCAAATGGGATTCAAATATTTGCCACACACACTTTCACTTCGGCTCGGTGGTTTCTTGATTTGAAAAACGGTATTCGAAACGCTGTTGGCTCACCTGCCAAAGCTATCTCTCTCTCTCTCTCTCTTTATATATATATATACGTATTTAATTTCTTAGCTTAGCACAATAACCAAAAAAAAATATATGTTCAGCACTTTCGAAAATCTTTCGAAAACCCGACAAGAGCAGTAACTTTGCGATATTGTTGATGTAGTGACCAGTGACTAGTGACTTTCGACTGTGATTTGAGCTGCAGAATTCAGAGGCTGTGGCTGAGAACCGAACCGCACGAGAGTCTGTTGACGAATGACTTTGAATGGCCGATTCGAATCCTTAACAGCGGCAGGACAACAAGTTGTTATGTCTTTAACAGCTCTGTTAACTGGCCTGTTGAATTGCCAAATGCTAACAGCGGCGAAAGCTCCGCCTAAGAAGAAAGTTTAGCTTATGCAAATTCAGGGAGTAAATCCTCGGTATACGCTAACAGATGGCGCTTTAGTGTTTTCCGATATCCAGAAGTCCTTTGAAAAGTTTGGCAATATATTCAAATATATATTTTAAATATATTTGAATAGTCTTATAGTAGAAAAAGGGTTTTTTAGCATTTTTATATTTAAAGTTTTTTGTTTAGAATTTTTGTTAATTCATTTAATGCACTTTTTGTACCAAATAAACATCATTTCTTTCGTCTTTGGGCACTAGTCAATAGTTTTAGAAGTAATTTTAGTTAATTAAATCCCAATTACTCCCTAAAAAACAACCAAAAATCTCCATTTAAAGAAAATGTTTTGCCCGAAAACTCTTATCTCAAATAATAAGGACAATACAATTATAATTTTTTTTTCAAATTTTATTTTGTTTTTTTGTCGTAAGAAAATTTCTTTTTATTCATCGGTCGACTTCCTGCGACTTCTCTAGCTAAAAAAACTGACTTCAACATCTTTCGTTCCTAACAGAAAAAGAATTACAGTCACGATCGGAATTGGATGGGGGTAAACGCAAAATTAAACACAAGGGACTATCAATTGATTTGTAATAATAGGACTAATTTGAATTTATCGTACAGTTGGAAGGTTTTCTTGTCTTACATACCAATCAATCAATCGGTCTTCTTATCCATTATCGCTCGATATTCCTTATAGTTCGAGGACTCATTTTCTCTAAGCTGCTCTTCCCTATCTCTCTTTCTTTACAAATGTGTCTTCAACAAACGAAGACAATTTCACAAAGGAATTTCTTTAGGTTTCATATTTGTTGGTTTGTTTTTTTTTTTGTTTTATATCTTTTTGTATTTGTGTGTTTGTGTTTGGAGTATGTGCAGTTGGGCATTTCAAAGTTCAAAATTCTAAAACAAATCTGTGGAAACGTTGGTTCGTTATTCGTTTAAAGACTAACAATCTCGTGATAGACGAAAAAAAAATGATAGTATCTCTAGAAATGATCGAACATGATGTACATAACTAATTAATTACGAAACTTTATGCTCTCTGCTCCCTACAGGATGAAAAAATGGGGTTTGCTTGTTGCTGCTCCGGCTGCCGCTGATGTTGCTGTTGTTGCCTCTGCCGTTATTGGTGTTGTTGTTGTTGGGATATGTGCAGTCTTGAGCAGATTAGATTTAATCATCACCAGCGGAACGCTTGACCTTGCGCTGCTTGGGACTCTGCTGGCTGACCGGCTTGGGGCTGGCCTGCTTGCCGGGCTTCGGCGAGGTCTTGGGCGTCTTGGACTTAGGCGGCGATTTCTGCAGCGCCCGCAGCGTCTCCTGTGGCACCCAATCGTAGTCAATGGTGCTGTCGTTGGCAGTTCCGGTCTCGATCACCTTCTTGGCGGCAGCACGCTTCCTCTTGCCAGAGCTGCCCAGCAGGTACTGCTGTCCGATAACCAGGAGCAAGACAACAATGCCGGCCAACAAAACGTACAGGAAGAAGGTCTCACCATCCAAACCCTCATCAACTTCCGAAATCAGAACGGTCTCGTTGAAGACAGCCTCGTTGTACTGAATACCATTGGCATCACGGTAGGCCAAGGCAATGTTCAGTCCGAAGGGACGGCCGGCAAATTGGTCCGAGGGCAAGAAGGTGTACGAAACGGTTGACTCGAATCCAGGCTTTACCTCACGGTTGTAGGCCACAGCTGAGAAGTTCTGGATGAAGTAGTTGAAGTCCATGGGATAGCGGAAAGAAGCCTCCACCGTCTCGATCACAAATTCCTCGGAACCCTTGTTGGTGAATCCAATCAGGAACTCGACGGGCTTGCCGCCGGGCAGATCCAGCTGCTGTCCAGGTGTGTACAAGGGTTTCGTGAAGAGCAGATAGGTGTCCGCATTTGGCGAACTGCTGCTGCCCGAGTCGCTATCCTCGTCCGCTTCCGCATCTTCGCCAGTTACCGCGCCCTCCTCACCGTCCACGTCCACCAGGTCGTCCTCCACAGCCTCAGCAGCATAGGCACCGAACTTGTTGGCTGTAAAAGAGAAAATAATGTTATAACATATGTGATTTGCTTCTTCATGTATACAGTACTAGACAAAATTAATGAAAATGCCGATTCTAGACATTTCCAATGTATAGTGATTTTTCTATGATAACCTTGACATTGGAAACCGATATATCATAGTATACAGCTATAGTACTATAGATATAAGACTTAGAAGAAACTTGGAATCTTGAAATGGAATGTGGAACCTTGGTATGGAGTAGCCATCCGCCAACAAGAGGTCATTTGTACTGCAAGTGTGGGATATAGCTAACCGATTTTTGTGAAACTTGTCAATATTTATGAATACCATATACAAAAATATTGTGTTGAATTTGAAGGTTGGATCTTGAAAAACAACCGAAATAATAGCCATTGAAGCCACGCAAAACCACGAGTAAGAGCGAGAGGGCGATAGCTCATGCCAACTCAACAGTTTTGATGGGCTGACGAAAATTTTGACCACTGAAGATGAATGAAAATCGCCGAAATATGATGATAACGATAGATTGAGGTTGATTGCAATGCCAAGTATAGTATATTCCACGTAGCAGATGCGGATGCGCCCGGCACAGTGCCACGTAGACGTTTGAAGTACCCCCGCCCACCGAACGATTGTTATTTATCGGTGGGGGCAACCAATTTTGCGAGCTACTTACGCGCCGAGAACGTGCAGATGACGATGGGCAGCACCATCAGCATTAGGAACATCAAATGCCTCATCTTGTTTGGTTATTTATTATCGTCTTCGGAATGGGCTGCAGTTGAATGCGCGGCTCACACACGGAAATTCGGCTGGGAAATTGGCTGGGGAAAACGCACGCACACACAACCTTCGCGATCGAGTGAAAATGAAAAAGTGACGAGCAGCGAAGAGTAGCGGCGAAAACACTAGCCGAAGAGGCACGAAGTGACACGAAGTCGGCACGACTTTCACTGTCAAATGTCTACGTGGTGCCACGTCTAGGGTTGCCAGGCAATCGCTTCTAAAGCACATAATCTCGAGATGATCGAATATTTAGGCCCCTGATACCCAGCCTATTTCAAAGCCATCAATAAAATTTGTACTAAAAGATTTTAAATACCACTGCATTATGTTTGAATTTACTAATAAAATTAAATGTTTACTTATTTTGTAAGTATTTCGACGCATCGACAACTCTGTCTGCCCGGGTAGTGTTACAAAAAGCAACAACTGTCAACAGTCGTGATTTGACATTTTATTATATTGGAGAACAAAAAACCTTAAGTAATATTTTTACCGCAAAAATAAAATTTGAATTAAGAGTTTTTATTAGTCAAAACTAATTGTGGTTCGTATTGAACCTAGTGGCATTTAACAGCACTATTTCTGTATATCGATATTTATCTATATTTAACTTAGCTGCTTGGAAGACTTGATATTTATCGGATTTGTTTACACATATACAGAAACAAATAAATACTATATTGTAAAAACATTAATTTTCCAAGAACTGTAAGATTTGAAAAATTGTACTTAAAAATAAATTGAAAAGGGTATTAATAAAACAATTGCAGTTTGAATGATGTGTAATTTAGTATTTAGTATTTTATGTCCATTATTTGATTTTTATGCTTCTTCCGAAATAAACAAAGATTAAACAAGAGAAAACTGTGCAGATTTTAAAATTTAATCTTTGATAATTTTAAGATATATGTATAGTATATTAAAGCATATATTATTATTAACGCACTAAGCTATTTTTATCTTCTTAATCAACTTCAAAATGTGAGACGACCTTATATGTTCATTTTTTTTTGCTGTTGTCTAGCCTTGGTACATTGGTTTATTAACTTCTGAAGAAACTTATTATATTTTTATAATTAAATTATAAGCACGAAGTCTATGTCTAGCTTTTTATAGCCAGTTTATTCGATATAGCCTAATCGATAGTTGACAGTGCCGATTATCGCACCTATCGCGTCATCCGAAACGCAGCCAACTTCACGTCGCCGCACCGATAACCGCTGAACTTCCTTTTTGCTTGCGGCTGTCAATTGAAGCGCAACTTGCACGTGAATTCTCTGCGAATTTAGCGATTTTAGCGACTAAATATGGACAAACCAGTTGTGTGGGCACGCGTCATGAAAGTTCTGGGTCGCACCGGCTCCCAGGGTCAGTGTACTCAGGTGAAAGTGGAGTTCCTCGGAGAGCAGAACCGTCAGATCATCCGTAACGTGAAGGGACCAGTCCGCGAAGGCGATATTCTGACCCTTTTGGAGTCTGAACGCGAAGCCAGGAGGCTGCGCTAATTGGCGACCACCTCGAGATGGTAAGACTTCCTGAAATAACTCCCATTAAATCCTTCTTGTAACTATCACATTGTTTTTCTACAGACCTTTACACACACACACACACTGTTTTCGCACGCGGCTTTTTCTGGGAGGAAAAGCGGAGGGAAATACAAAGATATCCGTGGGAGGCTGCTGCATATTCGTTATAAACAAATGAAAATACACACCTAATTCGCCAGAAATCAGCAAAAATGTGTTTTAAATAAATCTCGAGAGGATTGGAGCGCCTTTGTAACAAAAAGAAAAACCATTCAAAGCTGTGTTTTGGTTTCATTTATTGGACCTTATTTTTTGTTTTTGTGTTTTTGTTGAGTGCCTAGTGAAAATTGCCAAAAGCCAGTGGAATGTGGCTTTCAAGCCAATTTCTTTATCAATTAACAAAAATTGTTTGTTTCTTTAGAGATCAACAAAGATTTTGTTTGTAAAATTTCGTGTATAGGATGACTATAATTATTGTTCAAGCACATGGAGGGTTTTCTTTAAAATGGTTTAGTGTCATTGTGTCACTGGATTTCTATTAAAAACTAAACCTTTTTCGTTGATTGGAATTCATGAAAACATAAGTTATCAGTACAAAATAAGCAGTCTGCTTGCTATAAATTATATTCGTGTAAACACGAGGAAGATGTCATGGAATGAACAAATAGTTAGTTTATGTCAAAGTATTAAAAGGCAAAGATTTTGATCAATGCTCTTGACAAATTTGGTGTTTCCTACTAAAGAACGTGATTTTGTGAGGGCATTAATAAGTTTATTTGTATTAACTTACGTTTAGAAAACGTTTGCACAAATTACTTACAAGTTAGAACAAGTTGATACTCATGGCTTTAAATTTCACGAATGGTATCTTAATCTCCTCTTAAATTATTTTATATCGAAGGCATGTTTGCCTTAAAACCACATACTTTCTACACTAGATAATATAATATTTATTCATTCAAAGCTAACTTGCGCATATGATATCAATCAAACCTGAGCTGAGTATATAATGTTAGGCACAAGTTTACAATACAGACTTATAACTACATTAAGTATATATATTCTTAATCAGCATAGTCTTAGCCAGCTCTGCACATATAAAATGGTATTCCAGTTTTAAAGATATAATCTTATATCTGTTTATAGGTAGTAAATAAGTAGAAACAGACAAATACACCATACAAAATTATACATGGAAAAGATAAAAAACTAATAAAACTTAGTTGTCTTATCCTTTTTTCAGATACATTTTTTACAATTTCAATATAATTTCACTTTCACACTGTTATATACGAATCTGCCAAAATCAGAGTAATAAATTGGCATACATTCGGTAGTTTTTATGACTTTACAAAGTTTTTTACTCCATACGAAAAGGGTATAATAAGAATAATATAATTTTAATTGATGGGTATATCTCGTCTTAAATTTCTATTAATTATGGTCCAAATACACGGAAATTTTAAATTCCTGTATCATGTGATTAATAAACAAGGTATATTTTTCCATTTATCATTTAAAACTCAGTGGAAAACTGGTCAATCTTTCGACTTTGGCCAGTCCCAGGTAAATTCGCGCTTCTGCGTGTTCCGGCAGTTGGAGATCGGATTTAAAGGCATCCAGAGAGGATTCTGGTGGCGTAAACTTGGGTTGTAGCTGGCGAAGATGGAGCTCCAGATGTTTGACCTGATTTTGAAGCAGTTTAAGGGACTCCTCTATGAAATTCCGAGACTGTGTTAAACTATCTGGGATTTTATTTTCGTTGAGTTCTTGATTTAAGTGGAGGCACTCCATCTCAAAATCATTTACTTGTGTGGATATTTGCACTAGCTCATCAACTAGTTTCGAACTATAGAAGCCAATTAAATGAGATAAATTTCTGGCGGGGATTAGGCCACTTACATGCTGTCCCGAAGGGTTTGGTAAACATCATGGCACACAGAGAGCAGGGCAAAAGTGGCTGCTTGGTTGTTACTTCTATAAGTAAGCATATTAGTCATGTTTAACTTGATTTTATTAACTTTTTACCCTTTCACCAATCGGTATCGTTGACATAATTCCCACAAGCGGTTCGCTTGATTTGACAATTCAGGTGTCTTTGCCGCTCTCAGCGCTAGATAATTCCTGATGCTGGTGGCTAAGCGCTTTAATTCTGGCTCCAAAGTGGTTTTATAGTGCTCCACGCGATCTGGTGGCAATAACATTGTGGCAGTACATCAAAACTAAATTAGTTACCAAAACGTATGAAGCTCGATCAGCTGTTCGAATGCCTGAAATATTAATATGTTTCAGGCGGTAACTCGATTAATTTTAGCTGATATCGATTATTTTATTTGTTACTTTAAAGAATGTATAAATTTTCTAAAAAAAAAATTGGAGTGGCTTAAAATAACGGTACTATCCTATTTTACAAATAACTAGCAAAACGAAAGAACCGATAACGACAGCAAATATATGATCTTAGTGGAAGAGAAGAACGATATAATTAGTCGATATATGATAAATCCAAATGCTCTCGACCATCGATGAATTACCATTACTAAAAGTGCAAGTTTACGTTACATTTCAAACACGTTAAGCAAAAATACAGTATAGTAATGACTTTATTGTTTTATACTTATTTAAAGGAGTGTCTTGAAAATTGTTTTATTTCGATATATTTATTAGAAATGATTTATTACAATAAAAAAAAGTTGCTTATTATCGCATCAGATTCCTCAGGGTGACTACAAGAGTTCACTGCCGCCCATGAGCTGTCTGGGTATCTGGTAGTTGGAGTAGACCCCGGCAAATCGAATAACCCAGCCGACACCATCGTAGTTGACCGTCTTGTGGAAACGGACTACCACTTGGCTGCGATTACTCTTATAGAACTTCGGGTTGTCCTCGCCACAAAAGCGTCTCACTTCAAGATCCTCTCCATTTTCTCCGTCCTTCTCCAGGATCTGCAAATAGTCCGTGTGACAGGTGGTCTTGGAGCCTAGATTAAAGACTGAATGGAAAGGAAAGAAAAGGTTAGTGAATCTGGCTAGTAAGTGAATCGGTAAACTAACTAGTTAATGTTATTTCATTTTTATTATTCAAATGGTTTAATATTCTGTACCCACCTTCGAATGTGAGAAGTACTTTATTATTGCTCGGAACCTGGACGATCCACTGGCACTCGGAGTTATTCCTTACATTGTTTGGATAAAAGGGATTGGTGAAGATGCCTTCGGTGTTGTAGAACTGTCCACCGCATCCGGGTCCCTTATCAATCGGACTGGCCAGATAGGTGAGATCTAGCATGGTCAAATAAGTGCCGGTCTTCACGTTCAACCGAAGTTGATCCGAATAGCTGAACAGGCTTTTGCCGACATCTACAAAGCTGCAGTCGCGCTGCAACGACTTATTGTCCTTGTCGAAGACCTCCAAATTCTCCAAATTGCAATCCCAAGTACCGAAAACCAATTCGGTGTAATACAAGCTGAGGGTGTGATTGGGCGGTGCACGAATATTGATGATGCAATCGGTCGTCTGCGATATACGCACTCTTCCCTGCAGGCCATCAAAGTTCAACTCACTGTTGGAGTTCGCCGAGGCCTTAACCTGGAATCCGGCACGTTGCTCCAAACTCTTTGACTGATACTTCAGGTACGCCTCGTCGTTATTGGCGTAATAAATGTCCGGCTTTGCGTTGCCGCAGTATACGTGTTCCTGGGCATAGTCAAAGTGGTTGCGTCTGGACGTCTGCCCATTAAAGACCAACTCGCTGCCAAAGCCCTGTTCCACTAGCTGAGCGTCCTACATACGTGATAGTAGTTTTGAAGGTAATGTATTAAATTAAAAGAAATTATTATTAAAAGGAACGTAAAAGATTAACTAACCCATAGTGCATATTTATAAATATACATATACAGTAAAAATGATAATTACCTCACCGTTGTAGATCTTCAAGAAGTCCTCTACACAGCTGCCGTTAGCATCGGGTCCATGGAGATCAAAACTGACGAAAGTGACCTTTATCGGTGAATCGCTTTTGATTTTCCAGAAGCACGAAACTCCATTGGCGTAGTTACCGCCTGGCGTTCTTGGCGGAGAGTTAATAGTGACCTCCTTGGGTCCTCTGGTTCCTTCAGAGCTTAAAGTAATTATAGGACTACCGCAGAGTAGAGGAACAGCATTGATGGTCACCTCGAAACCGGAGTCATTAACCAAGTTATCAGTGACAAAACGCAGGAAGAGCGTATGCCTGGATGTGGTTATGGTGGGTGGCTGATCCTGGCCACAGAAACGCCCAATGATATCGGCAAAGGGTCCAGCGCCATCGCGCAACTCTACGTAATCCTTGAGGCAACCGTCCGACTTTTCCACATGGAAGTTACTGAACTGCAGTCTGATCTGCTGATCCACGTTCACCCGGAAAACGATATGACAGTCCAAATTGGGATCATAACCGTTGGTGTTATAGAATTTGCTAAATACATATCGCAGCGATCCATTCAGCGATATCTTTTCGTCACAATTTGGCATCACGCGGACCAGAGCACGGAATCCCCTAGAAGGATCCCGATCATCCGAGAAACTGTGTATGATGCCTCGCTCCTCTGGAATACTGATCACTGGCAGGTCCTCATTCATGCGACCGCAGAAACGACCCCGCCTCTGTCGCTCATCTGGAATCGATCCGGAGAACACTTCGACGCCATCGTAGGCACAATTGGAATGGGGCTCGAAGTCAAGGAGTTCGAACTTAATGGTAAATTTGTGACCCGCGGCGGCAGTTAGATTCCAATAGCAATCACTACCGGGAGGTAGGGTGTTATCCGTATGCTGCCTGGGTGATTCGACTACTGCATTTTGGGTGATAACACCACCGCAAAGGCGACTGCTATAGCGCAATGTAAAGCCCCGACCGGAGTAGCTGCTGTCTGTTTGGAACAGTAGATTAATGGATTCCTTGGCCCTGTATTCGTGGTTATGCTTCATGCCGCAGAGAATGGCCTGTTCGGGATCTTTGTCCTTATCCTTCGTGGTCACCGTAACATTGTCGAAGACACAAACCGATATCGGTGCCTGTTCCAGATCGAATTGTACAAAGCTGATTAAGACACCGCCCGTCGAAGGATTCCTGGGGACTATCGTCCAGTTGCATCGCAGATTTCTCTCATAGTTATCCGGATAACCTGGACTAGACAGCTCCTGATCTTCATCGTCGGCGTACAAAAGGCCACCGCAATTCCTCTCAAATCTAGCCAAAAAACCATCGCCAACCACATCGGCATCGGAACGGAAGATTAGGCGCAGATAAGGAGATGTGGTGTTTATCATCTCCGGTGGAACACGTCCGCAAATTCTCTTAATATCGGTCCAATTTCCAGCAGAATCATTGCGCTGTTGCACAAGCAGATAGTCCTTAGTGCATCCAGGACTGTCCTCGATGTAGAATCGATCTTGGAAAGTGATACCGATGTGATAGCCCTTTCCCGCCTCCACCTCCCAAATGCACTCCACATTGTTCTTGTATTGCTCATTAAATTCGATGGCCCTATACGGATACGTCAACTTGCCTCCGCATCCCGATCCGTATTTTATGGAAACATTGAAGGTAGCATTGGGAGAGAAGGTATCGGAGTGGTATTCCAGGAATAGACCACGCTCCACCACCATGTTCACAGCGGTCGGCTGGTTACAGAACATTCCCAGCGATGGTGAATTCTGATCGGGTCCATTGTAGATCTGCATAGAACAAAAATTATAATATTTTTATAATATTTTAGAAGCAAAGACTAAAAAGCTACTTACTTTAATATAGTGATGCATGCATGGGGATTCTGTAGATCCTGTAGCTGGAAGTGAAGTTGGTAGATAGACATCATACACCGACACCTCCAGTTGAATGTCTTGCAGCACCACGTCATCCTCGCCACTGCCATCTGAATAGGGTCCAATGGCCCAGGCACAGTCGATAGCACCCTGAACCGACTTCATTCCTGATGGCTGTTGCACCGTTGTATTGTCGCCCGGTTCCAGGATATAAACTCCGCCGCATGACTGCATACTGTAGCCCAAAACTAGATTGGTCAACATGTTGCGACTGGAGCCTGAAACCACCAGATCGATGGGGAAGGGCACCCGGATAGAGGGCAACGGTTTGCCCGAGACTTGGTAGCTACAGAGGATACGCTGCATCAACTGATCTTCCTGATCCACTCGGTTTATTTTAAGCGGCGAGAGGAGGGCGCAGAGATGACTATTCGCCATCATCGGAGAAGAGGTATTGTATTCCTTCACCTGAAAGGAGGTCATTAGGAAGGGAATCAAGATGTTACCATAGTTCTTCATATGCCAAAAAATAAAAATTAATTTGTTGATAAAATCACTTCACAGGTTCATTCGATAAAATGAATACAATTTTTCAGGATCACTTACCTGAATTAGGACTGTGCTATTAACGACTGGTTCTATTTTGTAGCTGCAGTGGATTAGATTGCTGATATTGAGGCGCTGGAACCGCATCTCCTTGGCCACATTTGGCTGGAAGTTTAATCGCTGGCAAGTACTGACGCCGAAGGCAGTGAATCGTAGCTTAATCCCGTGATTAGGTCCAATAGGTAATAGAAATGCATCGATGCCCATCGTATTGTCGGTAGACTCCACTTGCGCGGGCGGATTGCTGTGGTAGCGCCCCAGGACGGACTGCATCTTGAAATCGTTGGCCACGGTAAGGCGACCGCGGAATCCAAAAGTTACCGCTGGCCATTGCCCGGCAGTTCCGTTCCTCATCGAGCCCGTGTTAAAGTCAAGGATCTCCAGACGCACTCTCATACCCTTCGGTACTTCCACGTGCCAAACGCAGTGCATGGGATGAGGAACACCCACCGGATATCCAGGTGTCTGAAGAACGCCGACCGATCCGTAAATAGTCTGAGAGCAACGAGAACCCAGGGTGCTATACTTTAAGCGAAAGCCTACATTATCTTCCGGAATGCCGCCCCGAAAACGATACCGCAACACAATCTTATTGGTTTCGCTTATCAAGTGCTTCTCCGTTTTACCGCAGAGCATAAGTGAGTCCACAACTTTCTCCTCGCCATCTATTCCAAAGGCATCCATTTCCTCCATAAATAGATGATTTTGCTGAGAGCAGCTGCCGTTAGCCAACTCTGGTATATTGATATATTCAAATTCCATATCCATTGTGCTGCCCTTCTCCAGTTCGATGGTGTACACACATTCCTGTAGCTGTTTATCCGCCTCGTGAATAACCAGGAGATTGCGTGGCGGTGAGGCTATAACTCCCTCTGGACTATGGAATGACCCGCCGCAACGAGCTAGACTTAAAGTGGCATTGAAACCTATATGTGGCTCGGAGACGTCGGTGAAGTAGCGGATTCTCAACTGATTGCCGGTGGAGTAGATCGAGTTCGGTTTCCGTTTTCCGCAATAGCGACCGATCTCCGGTTTCAGCTCCGTACTACCATCGTTGATTAGTACGAATTCCTGTTCGCATTCTCGGGACTCCCCATTAGCTTCGACCAAATCGAACGTACCCTGGAAGTGCAGCATTATACGGTGCTCTGGCGGCGCTTCAACGACCCAAATGCATTCGGAGTGAGGATGCGGCAGGTGTGGATAGTAAGGTGTACTAATAATATGCTCATCTGAGGCGGTGGTCAGACGAATTTTGCCAGAGCAGGCATGACCCAGTTCCTCGAAGCGGAAGGACATCAAGAAACGCGGTGGGTTCGCAAAATGAAACTTCACATAAGCCTTATTCGATGTGGTGTTTAGTACTTCGTTTACGACATCCTCACAATATTTACCCCTACCCAAAAAGGGTGAGTCCTCGTCGTTGCCATTGCGTAGTATAAGATAGTTCCGGCAGTCACTCGATCCTCCATTTACGTTGTTTTGCAATTGAAAGTCGGGAAAATCGATCTTGATCCTTCGCCCCTGGCGCACCTTTATGGTCCACACACAATCTGAGTAAGGCCGGGGATTAAAGGCCATAACCTCAGTTATATTAACCTGTCCATTTGAGGTCGTTAGTTCTGATCCGCAAGCCGTTCGTACCACACTATTGAATCCCGTCTTGTTCACACTGACATCCGTGGTGAACTCTACCCTAAGATAGGGCTTTCCGTGGAACATCCTCGCAGTCGATTCCGTGGGCAGAGTACATAGTTTTTTCATTTCCGACCAATTCTGTAGATCATTACTGCTTAAGATCTTTACATAATCCGCTATGCACTCGTTTTCACCTCCAAATATCTCCAGATCGATTTGACTGAACATGATGACCGCATGTAAAGCCGGATTTGAGGGAACCAAGCTCCAAGCACACTGTATCCCCCTATCGTAGCCATTGGGATAACCGGGTGAGTGGAAACCGATAACTGGTCGATCAATGGTTATTAACTGGCGGCCACAAACACGCATCTGTTCCTCCGCCGTGCGATTTGAGCGCAGGGCCTCCTTGGACAACCGCTGCCAACTCAACCGGAAGGGACCTCGGTTACTCTCGAAGTAGACCACATTCGTGCTAGAACGGATGGGTTCGTCTGGATTCGTCACCTCGATGCGAGCTCCAATCTCCGAATAACCGTCGTAAAATCGCAAATGTGGCTGATCAATATCCTTTAGATGGAGCACTGATATTACCACCACGTAATCCTTGTCTACAGTTATCCGCCAGCTATATGGCTCTGAATCCAGGAACTTCGTTGGATAATGTGGCGACTCAATGTAGCCATCAGTGCCATTCACCTCGTTGTGGTGGTCTAAATATAATACAAATCATTAGCAAATCATTTTGCCGTTGCAAAGTCGAGTTAATATACTTACCGTAGTTGTAAGAAGCCATAAATCCCTCGCCCACAATGTCATCGTCGCTCTTAAACTTCATCCAGATGGAGGTGGATGAGGAAATAGTTCCAGGTAACTCATTGCCGCAATATACCCCGATGAGTTTTCCCCTTTCCGATTCCTCGCGCACCTCTAGATAGTCCCGATTACAGCCGTCCGACTTTTCTATGTCCATCGACTCCAGTGTAAGACTGAGAGAATTGCCTAGAGAGGCTGTCAGGTACCAGATACACTCAATATTTGGCGGATACGTGGACGGGTAAAACGGTGATGTGAATTTGCCGGAGATTGCGTTATAGATGCTGCCACAGGTCGAGTCCATGATCATGTAATTTGCCTCGAACTCTTCTACGATCTGCAGCGGCACAGCAACGGTCAGAACATTTCCAACAGAGATCACTGCTGGAGGTTGCGTGCGACAGTACTGGATACGTGGAGTTCCTTTTGCCTCCGTGCCTTCGTAGATCTTCACACCCACCGGCATACAGTCACCCTCTGTGGCATATTGGATGTCAACTTCATGGCGTAGCTTGAGATGCGTGGGCGTTAAGACGATATGTTTTTTGGGGTCTTGAGCCTGAAACACCCACAAACATGTCTCGTTCCGCGGTGCCTGACGGGTCAGTTGGACGTAATCCATCAGCGAGTCGTCAGTGATTATCTACAATGTGGTTAATGAAATATAAATTCCATATATGTTCTATAATATTGAAATAAACCCACCGTTTGGCCACAAGACTCGTGGAAGTGCATCTGAAATCCCTTCTTAGAGACGCTGTCATCACTGATGAATCGCACCACTGCCAAATTGCTGGTGGACGTCCACAAGCGATCTTCTTCCACTTCATCGTTGCAGATTTTGAACAGTCTCTGACCATCACTGTCGTCTTCAGCCACATCGAAGCCCTCCAAATAATCAAATCCACAATCATAGCCAGTCTCCAGTTCAACATCGTGTAGCTCAAAAACGATCTGGTGGTATGGTGACACTTCCAACTGCCACTCGCAATTACTATTGGCGGGATATTTCAACGGGTAGTTAGGTGATTGGATCACTCCATTTCGGGCTGAAATTTTGCCACCACAAGCTGTGGGAAATAAAGACAAAGACCAAATGTTAAAGATCTTAAGGAAAGAGTTCTACCTTGCCATTATTATCCAAATCTTTCCACTTAATCAAAACCAATATACATATCCAAAAATATAATTACCTGCTTTCACAGTTCGATAGGTGGCCTCAAAGCCTTGTCCATTGCTTGAAGCGTCCGAGCTGAAACGGACGTGCATCCTGTGGCCGGAACTGGTGAAAACCAACTTTTGCGTTGATCCACAATGTCGTTCATGGATCTCCACATGATCTTTATGGTTGGACACCTAAAACCATTGAAAAAGTATTACAAATCGTTAGAAACCAATCAGCAAGCACCCAGCTCACCGACAAGGCATCCTTAGTACAATTGGGGCTCTCCTGAAGATCCATATCGTTGATCGTAAGCTCTATGACGCTATCCTGCTGGACTGTGATTAGCCAGTAGCATTCCACGTCGTTGGGATACATTTTCGGATAGTTCGGCGAATGGAAGGACCCACTTTCGCCACGTAGTTCCTCAAAGCAGCCATCAATACGGTAGTCCAGTTGAAAGTTCACAGTGCTGGCATTGTGGAGGACGGTTAATACTGTTCCACTAATATTCAGTGGCCCTGTGGTGATTATGTTCTTAATATTACTGCCATCTACGATGTACAAGCCACTGGGAATGGGGGAACTTATTATGTGCTCCTCGTGTCGCTCCCAATGGGATACTTCCAGGCGAATATGATTGCCCTTGGGCGCACGAATTGTCCAGCTGCAATTGATGGGTATTGTTTCCCAGAAGGGTTCCATGTAGTTAAGACTCTCAATGGTTCCAGAGGTGGCTGTTAGGTTTCTCACGCAATCTGCCTTATATGAAATTTTAAATCCACGGAAGGCATTGGACGAATCGGTTTGGAAAACGATAGTGGCTATGCTAGTCTCCAGCTTGATGAGTTTATTCTTTACATCCCCGTTGTTGCATAACATTTTATCTGGATTTTGATTGGATTGTTTAATTCCCGAGTAGATCTTCACACTGTCGTAATAGCAGTCACTTAAACTTTCCAGTTCCATATCCTCGATTATCAGCAAGATGCCCGATCCGGGATGCACATTAATCCGCCACTCGCAATATGCCATGTGTGGATACGTCATCGGGTACCTGGGCGAAGAGATGGCGCCGGTATTAGACCGAAGAATACCACCGCATCCAATGGCAAAGACTCGCCAGCGCAGCCGGAAGCCACGACCATTAATCGCGGCATCCGAGTGGAAGTGGAGCCTCATCTCGTTAGAAAAGCTTGGTATCCGCGTGGGTATGTTCTGGCCACAGAAGCTTCCTATAAGCGGAGAATCTATACTGCCACCATTCCTTATTTCCAAATAATCCGCCGAACAGTTCGACGATTGTTCCATATCAAAGATCTCTATCTGAATCTCTAACTGTTGACCAACGGATCCGGTCACCCGCCATACGCAATCCAAGTTGGTTAAATATTTGGCAGGATAGCCCGGAGAGGTTAACTCACCGCTAGAAGCGTGAATCAAGCCACCGCAATTGGCGCGATCCTCAAAAGTGTAAGTCAAATCAAAGCCGCCGTCCGAGTCGCTGTAGTCGGAGACAAACTTTAGGACAATCTGTCTCGAGTAGCTGATTAGATCCTCCGGAACACTCCTGCCACAGTATTTGGCCAGAGGCATGACATCCTTATCGCCCACCTGGGCTCGCAGGCTGTCATAGATCTCCAAATAGTCAAACAAGCACTCCGGAGAATGTTCCAAACTGAAGCTGTTCCAATGCAGGCGGATTGCTTTGTTGGGTGGTGCCATTATCACCCAATAGCATTCGGCTTCTGCGTTATAAGAGCCATACGCATCCACAGGCAGCCGGATGTGGTCGCCAGACCGAGTGTGCACTCCGCCACATTTCTCGCTGTCCGCAGGCAGTGCTCTGTAGCTGAACTTGAAGCCACGTCCCTCGCTATCCTTATCAGTGGTGAGGTGGAGCTGCAGGTAGTTGGTCTTACTGACAAAGTCCTCTGCTGGCTGATTCTTGGCACAGTAGGGTCCTAGAATCTGGCGGTTTACTCCATCGTTGATCTGCGGACAGTAGAAAATGTTATGAGAATGAATGTTTCCAAAACTAAATGGCTCATCCTAACATCTGGGATATGAATCGAATGAAACTCACTCTCAAATTGGTGGACAAACAGCTCTTATCATCTTCGTCCTCGTCGATATCTTTGCTAGTCAGCTGAAAATCGATCCTATTCAGACTGATCACCAAATTTTCGGCCGTTTTAATCGTATAAGTGCATAGCCGATCAGTTCTGGTTAGATTGGGATACCCTGGCGAGGTAATTACGCCCTGGTCACTGTCAAAAACAAAGTCACAGGCCAATCGGTAGTTTAGCTGGAAGCTACCCGCAAGGGCATAAAACTTGATCTTGACGCGATTAAACATTGAGGTGTAAGCCGGAGGATTGGCACGTGCCGCATCCGATCCGCAGATCTTTTCCTGTAGTATAGAACTACCCTCATCCGTAACATCCAGCACTTCGATACAGTCCTGTGACTCCAGCTTCAGACTCGTAAACTGAATGGCTATCTGCTCGCCCACGGCCAATTGGATGTCATATTCGCAAGAAACACCTCCAGATTCAGTATTGGCCGATGATGACTCAGAAATGGTACCCTCTCTGGCAGTATAGACTCCACCGCAGCCTGGTACACGCTCCTCCACAGAGTAGTGCAGCTGGAAGCCCGTATCGCTGCCATCTGCATCTGAATGAAAGTGTATCTCCGCCATGTGAGTGGGCAAAAGCAGTGGCGCGGGTGCCCCGCTGGTGCAGAACTTTGCTAGTTCCCGTGCTGAAATGATGTCTTTGATCTGAAATAGAATTAACAGGATGAAATCGTATATAACAAGCAGTGACCAGAAAGTGTTTCATTGATCGCTCACCTTAACGTAATCAAAATTGCAACTATCGTGCTGCTCCAGTTGGAGGCTAAAGAAAGTCAGCTTAATGCGTTTGCTGGTGGGAGCCACTAGTTGCCACCGGCAGTCTCGATTCTTAGGGTAATTACCCGGTGATCCCGGCGAGGCGAGTGTGCCATGGGTCTCAAAATCCAAACGGCCGCCACACTGCGGCGGCATTGAATTCCACGAGAGATCGAAACCCTCCTTAGCCGTCGAGTTGTCGGATCGGAACCAAAGATATAGTTGATTTCCAGATGAAACGATATTTCCTCCATGGGGCAAATGGTTTCCACAGAAGCGTCCAATTATCTGGGCAGCTGCTGATCGACCATCGTTAATCTGTAGCCAATCGAAACGACATTCCGTCGAGTCCTCCACATCAAAAGAGTTGAATGTTACATTGACTACCAGGGATTCGTTGGTTCTGATTACCCAGGCGCACTGGGAATTGTGGTCGTATCCGACTCCATCTGTGGGATACCTTAATCTGCCACTTGGGGCACTCAGCAGGCCGTTGCAACTGCTGAATCGCGTCTCGCATAGACGTCCCCTATAGCCCGGCAAACACTGGCAGATAAAACCATTTACGCCAGCGGTTGTCGGAAGGCAGCGTCCACCATTCTTGCACGGATGCAGATCGCAAGGACTTGGCATTGGCTCACATATCGGCTTACGGAATCCAGCGGGACATAGACAGGTAAAGTTTGAGGGTCCGGCGTCCAAGCAAATGCCATCGTTCTGTTCAAAGATACAAAAATTTCAAACCAAATGAACTAACACGACAGGTTATAGTTACTCACCAGACAGGGATTTCCAAGGCAATTCGAAGTGGTCCCATTGACGCAGCCATTTGGACCATATCCTGTTCCGACCATGCCAGCCGGACATCTGCAGGATATAGTTCCTGATATCAAGAAGCAGCTGGCTGAGGGATAGCAAGCATTGTTGCCCACCGGACACTGTATGGGAGCTTGTCCGGTCGGATTATTGAAGTCCTGGGCAGCTCTCTCACACTGCCGTCCATCGCCAGTCCAGCCAATTGGACACTCACCGCAATGATACGATCCGTAGGTATTTATGCAATCCACCTTGGGATTAAGACTGCAGCCACCATTATTAGTTTGGCATTCGTCCAGATCTCGGCAGTTTATTCCATTCCCAGTCAAGCCGGCGGCACAGGGACCGCAGGTGAAACTTCCCGGCAGATTAATACAGTGGGTTGAACATGGCTTATGGGCCGCCGAATCACTGCACTCGTCCACATCCTCGCCACAAACGGGAGTCAGCCCATTGGTCTTCCAACCTGGTTCACAGACGCAACGATAGCCGGCATCATCTGCACTTGGAATGCAGGATCCGTGGCCACACATTTCCCAGGCACTAGACTGCGAGCAATCGGCCTTACGCTGGGTGCAGTGCATTCCATACCAACCCGGCTGACACAAGCAACTATACGTTCCAAACTGATTCTGGCATTGTCCTCCGTTCTGGCAACCCAGATCGGTTCCTTCGAACAGGGCGCACTCGTTGACGTCCACATCGCACTTGGTGCCCTACAAAAAAAAAAAGGAGTAATGTCGTTTATTTAAGAAATAAATAAATTCGTGAATAATTATTTTTAATATTTTTATATACTTAGTACAAGTTTCTCTCTAGTAGGCACCTTCTGGAATTTTTTACCACTTCAGACGCCCCCTAATACTCCCCCATTTTTCTGGATTATCATAGATAAACGTTCAAATGTACGCATACACAGATACCCACCTCGAAGGACGGCCGGCATTGGCATCGGAATCCGTTGAAAGTGTTGTAGCAGGTGCCTCCGTTCTCGCAGGGTCCACTTGCACAGTTGTTGGTGTCCAACTGCGTCTTCATTCGGCTAACCCGGTTCTCCACCAACCTCAGTCGTGTCTGGAAACGCCGCATCAGAGCCATCGACATGCGAGTCCTGTTCCAAGAAAAAGTGAATTATTAAGGATATGACTAAGAAGTAGGTCAAATGTATTTTTGAAAACAAATCCCTTAAACAATCTGTCTGAGGATACGTTAATCAGGATTATCTATAAAGCTTCGCTCAACGATCAGAAATTTTTACCAGATTTCTTGGCTAAACTTGACTATCATATTAAAGGATAAGCATATCAGTCTGTATCCCAATAAACTACTATATTCTCAGAGTTTTAAATAGGTTTATAGCCTCATTATGCTTACCTGTTCTGTTGCTGTCGCAGCTTTAAACTCAAACCGTTGGCACCGAAAGCCTTTCTCTTGAAATCAGCCAGTTGATCTGCCAATTCCCGCACATCCACGAAGTCCTCGGCGGTGTTCCATTCATCCTTGGCACCACCGGGTCGCTTCTTGGAGCCACTGTTGGCCATTAACAGATCCATTACATCGTACTCCTCATTAATCAAAAGCCGCGAAGTTCCGCTCAGTCGAAAACTGATGTTACGATTGGCGCCCGACTCAAAAATCAAATTACCATCTTTACTTATAATTTTTGGCCTAAAAATGGTCGGTATTATATATAGAAAATCTAAGACAAAGATTTAAGCTATTTCAAATCCTTACGAATTGACAAAGCCTTCGGCCGAAGGCCATATATCCATGATAAAAAATATCGCCAAGCACAAGAGGAGTCTGCTCCTGGCAGATCCGTTCATTTTGTCACTTCAGTTTAGTAAGACACTAAAAAAAAAATTGTAAATCATTGGAAACACAAAAAAAAAAAGTAAGATCCGATCCGCTGGAATATCAACTGCCGACTGTGCTGCTCCCGGAGATCTTTACACGTAAAATCAACTCATTGCGGAGCGATGGGCGTTTTCCAAAAAAAACGCCCATTAAACCCGTCCGTTCCCATCAAATAGATAACCATGCTAGCTTTAAAATCGTACACACATATATATATTTTTTTTTTTTTGAGCAGATTTCTCAGCCGATTTGGATTTGCTCTCGGTGCTGGCTTAGTGCGCTAATAATATCTATTACAATAGCACATAAATTAGATCGTTTAGCTTAGGGTTATATCTTCTCAAAATGTAAAAACTACCAAGGAGTTATCCTCTTTCCTATTGCAGATTTTCTTTACAATTACACAATTACAGGTGTTTCTTCTTGGTGTGTGTTATGTTATGTTGTTGTTGTTGTTGTTGTGTTTCAATAACATATATATATATAGAACAGACTGTGTGTGAAATGGGGGTGTGCCCAAAAGGTGTTTGACTTAAGTACAGGCTGTGCTCTACATAGATTCTTGCTCTCCGTGCCAGGAGCTGTGGTGTAAAGTCTAGATAAGTTTGCAGTGTAGGTTAAAAATGCACAAGAAATGTTCGATAACCAAATGACTTAACATTTGCTCTCAGGAACTATAGATCTGAAGTTAATATGCAACAGATCAGAGATCCTTAAATTCAAGAATGTTAAAATTCATCAGAACTAAAGTTTATAGTAATGTACAATCCATTCAGTTTTCAAGTTTCTGAATCATTAAAATGTTTTACAATTAGTCCTTATTAATTTAGACGAGTTTGAGTTGGTTTTAGAAAGCTTTCCTAAGTGATTAAGGTTTTGTGACATTGTTTTTAATCTTTCTACATTTTAGATAAGAAATAAATCCATTTTGATCATTAAGTGTGTGCTTGGTGGTTGTTCAGTTTTGGTTGGTTAGTAGTTGGGTGGTTATGATCCATTACGATCGCAGTTTTGGTTTTTGGTGGTGTTGTCAGTGAGTGGGGATCCAAGGAGAGCTTCATTGGCTAGGTCTGCTGTTGCTTTTATATCTTACACCTAAGGCTTGCCATACAATTCTTTGTGTTTTTCATATTTTTTGGCCATGGAAATATATAGGAAATATTCAAGGGCTTGATGGTTGCTTTGCCTGCCTCTACATAAGATATATACTTCTTTATATATAGGCTTTAATATTTAAGTGTATATATAACGTAAGTGTGTATAATAAGAATCACAAAGATGAAATGACTTGCGTTTAGAGTCCGAATTTAAATTAATAACAAAGCTGGGCGCATAAAAGATCCGGATCTCTGTGCTGTGAGCATTGTTCACAAGAAACTATGGTAATAATAATAAAAATTATATTAATTACAATATATGGGTGCCAGGACACGCGCTACACGATAAATAAATATTAAAAATATACACTCTCGACAGTTGAACTTTCTCCTTAGGTTGGGTTTTTTTTTCTTTCGATTACTAATCATCGTCCTCCAGCTCCTCCTATCCATTTGCCTGAATGAATTTCCTCTTCAGTTGGCGGGCGTGGTGACTGCCTTTGGTCGCCGTATGTGTTCCGATTTGTGATAAAGGAATTTATAGCTTGATTTTTGCTTTTCCGTATGCTCCACAAAGGAATCTGCAGTTTAAGTAAGTGTTAATTTTTATGTTAAAACTTTGAATTGAATTATTTACCGAAGGAGATATAGCCCAGGTTGTCTGTATCCAGCACATTGAAGAGCGCCTGAGCCTTCTGCTCGTTTATCTTGCCGCCAGCGTGTCTCATTAATCGCACAAAGCTTTCCCTGTCGATTTCCTGACTAGATTCGCTATAGAGCTATGGAATAGGAAACATATTATATTAAGTAAATTTCTATTTTAATAGATGGTAAGTATATTACATTAATCAGGGCACGCAGGAAGGTCAAAAGATCGGAATTCTTCAATTTGCAGAAGAGGGAGCACAGCAGGAAGCTTTTCAAACTCACGGAGCCCATTCGCCGCTAAATGAAAAGAAATAGACGATGCCGATTAGAAAGAGAAAGGCAGATACATAAATAAAATCAAACCAATTCGATTAGAAACTACTAACGTGATCGAGCAGGGCAAACAGCTTGTGCAGATTGGTGTTCTTGAGATCCACCTGGAGCAGTTCAGCAAACGTACTGATGTCCAGCCTGTCTGTGTTGGACAGCCTGAGAAAGCCCCTGCACAGCTCAGCATCCCGCTGGCTCTCGATCAGGCCCAACTTCTCGATGGTTCGCTCGATTTCCACAATATCGCCAGGGAAGGGAATCTTCATGTCGCGGGCACGGCTCATCACGATAACATCCTCAAAGGAATAGTCCGAGGTTGGTACTCCCAATGCCCTAAAAAGTAGGTTATTTATAAGAAATCCAAATTATCCTGTGATCTTACAATAATCTTCATTGATAGTGTAAATAAAGTTCTTAAACAAATAGTTCTTATGTTCACTGTAAACTACAATATGGCTGCTATAAATAAAACGGCCAAAGGAAATGCCCCATTTAAGTTTTACGAAATATATATTTGTACATATATTGGCGAAAATTTCCATTTCCGAGAATCCAATAGACTGTTGCCCCACTTACTTCGCCATCACCTCGCGCACATTGTTGGCATACAGATTGGCATCGGCCACTTCGTCCGCCGACGGCGTGTAGACGGGCAGATATTCAATTTCACAGCGGTTATAAAACTGCGTCATCGTCAGCCATAGAAGACGTAATCTAAATGAAATATCAAATCAATATTACATTATTATAATAAGATATCATAATATTAGTTATGGAATAGTGTTGATGTCTTTATGATATTAATCGTAGAGTAAGGATTAAGATTTTATAAGAAAATGATTTTAGCATCGTGGCTTTCCACATAAATTCTTCTACTCAGGGATATCTTTTCTTGGGATTCATCGGAATGTAATTTGCTAACTTTATCATAAACATAACACTGTTGAACTGCAAGATCTTGCCAAAATTAGACAAATTCCTTAGTCTTAAGATAACTCACACTCCAGGTCCATCCCAGGTCCATGTGAAGGTGTCATACTTATTCGGATACTTGAGAAGCACCGGCTGGACGGGCACGCCTGGATAGAAAGCGCCCGGCTTAAACTTGATCAGGGCCGTGCGATTGGTACAGGTGCCCTCGGCGAAGATGACCACCTGTGGCCAGTCTTCGGTAGACCGGGCACGGTCAACAATGTCCCGAATGGTGTTCTGACGGGAGTTGGGATCCTCGCGCTGCACATAAATGGGCTGGGCATAGTTTATGATGCGTCCGAGCAATGGAATATCCGCCGTCTCCCGCTTGGCCACTATCGAGGGCGGGCCACTGGCCACGACCAGGATGGAGTCCACGTAGGAGGAGTGCGGTGCCACTACTAGAATCGGTGCCTCCTTAGCTGTAGCCGCTCGACCCTTCATGGTCACATAGTGAAACGATCCGAAGGTATACACCATGCGCATGCCACAGGCCGTCATGTATTGCATTTGTCTGAAAGGTGTGAAAAAAAACAAGTTAATTAGTCAGAGATTCAGGTGAGCTTGTAATGTATATTATTGACTCACTTCCGCCAACCGGTAAGGGGTTTTTCCTTGAGATCATCCAGCGTCATGCCATAGAGTCCAATGCAGGCGAACATCCATGCGGAGATCAGGGAGAGGACGCAGCCCACAACGCGAATGGGCAGCAATAGCACTGTCAGAACATAGACCTGTAAAAGAAAAACCTGGATTAGAATTCGGGTTTGGAATACCTAATTAGAAATGAAAGTACTAAAATTCCGAAGCAATTTGTTTTTGTATGTTAATCTAACATGAGGGAAAGCAAAATTCTACTACCCTGACCATCGAATACCCTTTACTTTATTAACCATTTTTATAATAAGTGTACGTTGCTAAAAAATGCTCTATCTGTTGCAGATGTTAAGCAATTTTAACGTAAATTCGTATTATTATTAAAAGCGCCATCTGTGTGTCGGAAAACGTACTCAATTTAAAGAGCTTGGATTACTGAAAAACTTGAAACGCAGTCTTAATGATCTTTATTTGATTTGGCCAACAGGTCATAGAAATATATATATCTTAAAAGTATCTTCCGTCAGCTGCCAAAGCCGTCTAGAGTTCACTTTTAAGACCGACTATATTTACTATATACCACTGCCAGCGTGGCTAGAGATACGAGATTCGTCTTGGCATGTCACCAGCTAACCCTGGACAAGGTATACACACGTAGATTCCATTGCTGCAAGTCCTACAGGACCAAGGATAGCCAGGCGGCCATCAGACAGAATCCTCCGATGGTGGCATATGGCTGCATCCAATTCTCGCCCGTCAAGGCGCGATAGTACATGGAACCACTGAAGAATAGGGTGCCCGTGATCATTAGGGTTCCGCTAAAGATGGGATAGTGGGCCAGGGGCATGGCCATCAGGGCGAAGGAGTGCAAAAAATGGATGCGATTGGCAACATCGGCATATGCCTGCGAGTCCAGTTGCTCCCTGACATTATCTAAATCCCGCAGTATATACTTGCAATAGGCACCCATAAAGATGGCCGATGCTCCGCTAATCCCGGCCAGCCTCACGAAATGGTAATGGCATCCAGCTAAGCAGTACAGTGAGCTATGTGAACGCACAAAAGAATGCGCTGATGGATGCAGCACCACGATGCAGTCATCCACTGGAATTTTCTTTGGATGCAACCTAATGCTCTCCAGAAAGGCATTAACCGACGAGATGATCTTCTGGAGGAATGGACTGTCCATAATGATATAGTCCAGGTTATCGGTCATCGCTATTGTGTAATTATTCTTGCCCAAATTTTGCCTGCTCTGCCTGCCACAATAATTTTGACACAATGCCAAAAATGTAATGATGTACAGTAGAACTTCAATAACACAAATCACTATCTGCTAGAGCTGCAAAAGCATCGTTGTCGACTGCAATCGATTTTTAAGTACTTTTCAGTTGAAAAACTCGATACTAAAGACTTTTCATTTGCTGACATTAAAAACAAAGAACACACAAAAATGATAAAGTTCTTCGATTAAATGGAAAAGTTTCATAATTTTGGTAAAAAAAAAAAAGTAATAAATTTGTAGTAGCCATAATTTATAGAAGGAAATGCAAAGAATAGAAAATACAACTTTTACTATCGTTGATTAAATAGATTCCGATTAGATTACTTCTTATAAAAAACCAGACAGATATGAAAATAAATACTTTTCTTTCAATTCCAAACTTAAGTTTGTGAAGTATAATATAAATAATAAATAATAAACATTTTATTAATCTCCCAGTGCATTAGCACTCAATCGAAATGCCATATCACAAATAAAACCAATCATCGGATAAGAGGCCAATCACATGGTTAAATATTCGCATTAATTCGCATTGCTTATTGGTTTGGCTTATTGGATTATATTTAGTATACTATATGGAACCCACAAATCAATGGTTCCCCAAACATTTCCATGTTTACATTCGCCAACTGCCCATAAGCAGGCTTTAATGTTGATAAGGGATTATAGCTGTTGCTTATCAGTCAAGTGGAGGCCCGCCGTATACCGCACTGAACTTTGCATGTCGATCCGGCCCTCTTCACAAAATCGATTCCCAGAAACAGCATGGAAATAGCCCGGAAAGACCAACCACTGTCTGGAGGGTATTTTTGGTGAAATAATCATGGATTACAGTTTAATTTTGAACATTTCCAGCATTCCAAAGATCACTCAATTTTCTTATCTCCATGTTATGTTTTATAAAACAACTTGAAAATTAAAGAATTTGAATTGTTAACGATTAAAGTCGTCATTTAATATCAGTCAAATTATTCTCATTATTACAACTTTTAGTTTTAATTGTATTACCCAACAAGATCATCATATTCAAGTTTCATTTTCATACGAATTGTTTGGGCCGCAAGTCACATATACTATATATAAAGATATGGCTAAAATTAGTGCATGCCAACTGAATGGGAAGTAGCCGCAATGTCAGGGCCATTAAAGTGCCTTGAACTTTGGTCGGAAGCGAAATAAAAGCGAAACGGGTTTTTGTGTTTTGTGCACGCAATGAATAAATACCCCCCATTCCTCCCAAAAAACCCCACTTTTTCGCCAGCTCTCAGGCTTTATAATATTATTCATATTATTTCAGTGGGTCAATGGCTCAATGAGTGCCCTGCTTCCTCTTTCCACAATTGATCTCAGACTCTCAACTTAGCTATTTATATATATATAATGTACGAGGTGTGTTCAAAAAGTAAGGTGACTCTTCAAATTTCGCGAATTTCAAATTTTTCGATTATCGAAACCTTTTAGAAGTTATACGAGGTGTGTTCAAAAAGTAAGGTGACTTTTCAAATTTCAAATTTTTCAAATTTTTCGATTATCTTCAGTTTTGGGAACAAGAAAAAGTCACATGGGGCCAAATCCGGTGAATATGGTGGCTGAGGCATTATTGTGGTGTTGTTTTTGGCCAAAAAATCCAAATCCTTTGATCCATATTTTTCGATAGCAAAAAATCGCCGAGCTCGCAAAATAACTTGTAACTTTACGCCTCTCACAACCAAACAAAAGAGGATGTTCCATTGAAACTTGGTACAGATGTTAGGGAAGAGTGTACCAATATAACAAAACAAAAAAATCGATAATCGAAAAATTTGAAATTCGCGAAATTTGAAGAGTCACCTTACTTTTTGAACACACCTCGTATATATTGCAGTTATCAGTTTTGTTTTTGGATTTGCAACAATTATCATTTATTTTTCAAGACTTTGAAACTTGACTCAGCGATAGCGCCATTTGGGTGCGTCACTGAGATCGGTTATAGTATGACTTCTACTGATTATATAGTATTTGTTTACCTCGCTTGATTATTAAGGCATATGGGCTAATGGGTATACACGAGAATATTGTTTTAAAAATACAAATTAAGTGCTTCTGTATTCTATATTGTATTTAAAAGCATTTTTACGTGATCTATTGCCGAGGAAAGGCAATTGCTCGTTTGCCAAATCAATCATTCTAGGAAAAAGGTTCTAGTCATTTTACAACCAAATCTCTATTTATTAATAGAATCTAGAATATGTGCAACCAAAATCCGTTAAACACGCCATAAACGGGAATTTTAGTGAATCAGCCAAACAATTAATCAAAAGTGAATGAAAGGGTATAAGGTTTGACTTTTAATTCGATTTAAATATCTAATTTCATTGATTTCAAAGAGTGTCAAAATGATAAAGAAAATGATTTATTAGGGGTTAGACACCTTGTTAAATATATATAAACTCTAATAATATACCTTAATGCTGAAAGAATTGTGTTTGACTGGTAAGTTCCAAATATTAACCTGATTACAAAACTGACGTCTTTAACTTTTTCTCTGTGTATCTATTAACAGAAATTAGACCATTTCCCGGGCAAATCTGCACTGATCCGTAAACAAGCTGAAACACTTGTATTTGCTTTTGTTTATTATTGTGTTATTGCCGCTCGCAGCAATTAGTGCTAAGTGCAAATAGCGAGCTTTACCAAAATATGGTAATTACGGAAAAGGTGGGTCATCCAAAAAGGGATATGTATATGTACATATATATTTGTATGTATGTATGTATAACAGGTGGCAAACTCTCCCATTAGTCCACGTGCAAGAAAGTAGAACCGTTTTGCTGATTACCTGATTATCCGGCGCTTTAAATGCAATAAAAAAACCTGACGTTGCAACACAAGGCAAAGATAATATATATATATATGTATAACGGAAGGTGGGGTGATATATATTTGGGGGGTTTCACGGTGGTATGTATGGAATCTGAGCCTTCTTATGTGACAAAAGCAGGAACGGTTTAAAAAAATAAATGAAAAAGTGCAAAGAAATCATAAGACTGACCTAAAGATACCCGGTAATCTAATTAAAACAAAACTATTTGACTTTTAATCCCAGATTTGGACTACAAAAATGTTAATTTATTTGTTGTGCGTCGTTGGTAGTTATTATAAGAATTTACATTGTATTTAGGATTAAGTCAGTCTGTTCAAGAACTATGTCAATAATTTCAGCCAGGGTGTAGTATTATAATAATAGCGAAAATGTGACATTTCCGCTAATAAGTGTTTCAAAATGCAATTTATTTGGTGAAAATCAGAAAGGATAGGGTAAAATGACAGTGATATAAGAACTCGATACAAAAGATTTTGTTTTTTTTATTATAAATGTAATATATGAGCAAAAAAGATTGTTCTTGCATAGTAATTTATAAAATGAAGTCATTGTAAGACCGTTTTTGTATTGTCCTTATGAAGATTGACTGATAAATCTTCGGGTCACTGGCATTTTAAAACGTTTGCATCTGTAGGAACCCCTAAATCTTTTTATACCAACGGTTTTCCTTTATAATCTCGTATATTTTTTATATTTTTATCTTTAAGGTTTTTTCGTAGGATTGCAAGATACATCTTAAAGAATTATCTTGCAGATCTTTTTATTTAGCCCCTATATCGTTTTATCCCAATATACCCTTCCATCTCTCTTAAGCACCCATTAAAAAAGGCCAATGACAAGAAAGAAAACGGGAATAAAGCGGAACAAGACACCCAGCAACGTGGTGAGTGCGAGCGAGAGGCAGAAACATTTCTGCCAACACCAACAACAACTATAACAACAATAACGGCACACATGCCAAAGAACCGGCGTCGCAGCAGCATTAGCAGCAACAAAAACAAAAATAATAATAACAACAACAATCCTTGTGGGGCGTAACAACAACAAAGAGAACAAGAAAATCATACGATTCTCGCTGCCGCCAGCAAAAAAAACGTTGACGTAGGCAGAGACGTCGACGTCGGCAGATAAAATAAAATGAGAAGGAAAAAGCAGTATAAAAAAGGAGGAAGAACAGCAAAAACAATAACAATGCGAAAAAGAACAAGAATATTGAACCAATGTAACGGCAAATGCATGTCAAGTGCAATACGAAGGAGAGAGATGGGCGAGAGAAAGCTCTCTCTTTCTCTTCGGCTCACACTCTCTCCACTGGAGATCGCCAGGGGCGGATGAGGGGTAAAATTAAGCAGAATGATAGTTTGTTTTCTTAATTTTCATGAGATTTTTAAGGAGGAAATCCTTTAATAATATTTTATGGTTATTTAACTGTTACAATGGTGTGATACAATCAAAATCCCCCTTTGGATGCGCACCTGGAGATCGCACATGTGCCTGATTTGCATGAATGGAAGAGAGAGATGACGAGAGGGCGAAGAAACAGTAGCGGAGGAAAAGGAGCAGCAGGGGAGACTCACCTTGGCCACCTCAATGTGACTCTCGATTTCGATGCGATGGACGAACGGATTTATGTAGTTGTACCCCTTGGATGCCCACGTATCCTCCTCAGAATCGCGTTTCGACAGGCTGGCGGCCACTCCCACATCGCCGACGCCGCCTACCACCCCCGCCGGCGGCACTTCCTCACTGCCCGATGGCTTAATTGTCGACGTTGTCATTGCCCCTATTATTTGATTCACTTCTTTCTTTCCTTTTTTCTTTATAACTTTTGATATCACACCACGCACTCCCGCACCGCAGTTAAAAAAAATCAAAATAATAATAAAAATAAATAATAATAATAACTATTGTGTGTGGTCTTCACTGGGCCCGACTAGTTTTCAAACCGCTGCTTTCCGAGTGGATTTCGTTTTTGAATTCATATAAACCGTAAACTAAAATAATCCCATAGTTTATTGGATTCTCTCACAACAACAAACTGCGTTTTGCAAACTCTCTGCTCGCACTGCGCCATTTCGCAACACTTCTGACGCGGCGTTGTGCAGTACTGCTTGGTCAACCGATAAATACTGTAAAAATACCAAAGCACATACTGTTTTCTTTTTTTGCTGATCGGGCAACTTTAGTTTACAAAAAATCGCTTTTTAAAGTTATAATATTCCTAAATTGTATTTATAGTTTAAAAATGTATATTCTGATATGATGCTTAAAAAGTATAAAAAATATTGTGTTCCTTAAATATCTACATAAAATGTTAGACTGAAACGCTTATCGCTTAAATATGGTTTCCTTAGATTACATATAAGATAGATTTATATTTATGTCAATATTACTATTTTACTATAGAATAAAATATCTATAAAAACAAAATAAATAAGTTAGACAACGTGAAAAACTCTTATAAGCCATCATAAATTTTTTTCAAAACGTTCTGGCAACGCTGACGAAGTAGGCGCCAAAATTGTAAGTTCAAAATTCCAGCGCTCCTTTGACCGTTTGACCGATTCCATTTCACGTGCTTTCCAGACACAGCATCGCGCCACCCAATCGTTTTATGGCACGAGTCGGTCTAATCTAAATCTTAATCTGTGGCAGCAGACCCATAGTTCACGGCCCGCCGTCTCATGTTTTGGGAACGTGTTTTATTTTGCCAAACAAAAATTTAACTTTACGATCTTCATCGAAAACGTTTCCAAGGCAGACACCTAGTTAGCGAACATATCGAACATATATATACAAACGTCTAGGCTATAGCTTTATCAGCGATTGAGAAACGCCGACCGATCCAACCAGTTTTATTCCGTCGCGTCTTATAGTTAGTTTTTCGAGATAAAACGGGTTTTTTCGGCGATGTGATGATCACCTGCAATCTCATTTCATTTTTTTTTATTTCGAGAGCGACGAGGCGCCATCAACTGTTATACGCTTGCGCCGATGACCTTGGTGAAGTTTATTCGCCGCCCTTTACCCCGTGACCTTGCCCAACTCGATTCCGTTTGCACGAAAGCGAAAGGAGTGTCGCATTTCAGGGGAAAGTTTTAGTAGTACAATACATAGTAGTACATATATTTATACGTAAAGTTGTAGTTCTTCTGGTTGACCGAGCCCCCCTTTTCCACCGCCCACCGCATAATCAGCCAACCGCTTCCAAGGCCGAAATAGCAATTTTTAATGACTGGCTGTGTTTATTAATTGACTTTTTATACATATATTTTAGTTATGCGATTTTTATTCAACCAAATCGTTGGAATTCGTATTGTTATACACAATTAGTTATAAAAATAGATAAAGCCATACTATTTACTCTTAAATTCCCTAATAAATGAGACGCTTTTGTTAAAATTTAATAACTATTATAAAATTATATACATTATATTTATTATGTATATTAACTTATTACGTGTTATGTTTACATATATCTTAAAGTGCTATATATTTTTATCTTTAATAAAAGTATTTTTGTTTGTTTTATTTGTTTATGTTCTTATCTAAAAATTAGATTAACTTATTTGTTTTACGCTTTGTATACAAAATTAGTTTTTGTTTCGACCTTGAATTGTATATGCTTTTAAGAGTTTACTTTTTAAAGGTTTCTATATGTTATGTGTAGATATTAATATTATTAATTTAGTGTTAAATGTTTCCTAGCTTGGGCAGTTTATTTGTTTTTCCTTTTTACTGCCCAAAATTTTGTATCTTTTCTTGATTTTTAATGATTCATACTATTTATAAAATGCAGAGTAAAAGTGTTTTTAATCTAAAAATAGTCCTTATGTGAATACATATTTTATTATTATTTAAGTGCGTATTATTTATGCTTTAGTCTTTATTTATTTAAATCTTATAACACAAACATGTGCGTTTATTACTTTGTATATTTTTTTTTATTATATTACTATTTTTCAGTGATTTTCACTCTGGACGATTTTGAACTTTTTTATGGGTTTTTTGTCGCTAATTTTGTTTTTATCTTTTTGCTCGGTTAATATGTGTTTTTTTTTTGCCTGAATTTCTGTCAGATGAATTTTCCGGATTTTGGCCAAGCGTCACGTGAAGTTATTTACAGTTGCCAAAAACGTATTATAATTAATGACTTTTGTTTATAAACGAAGGCCGGCGATTTTCACAAATTTTCCACGCGGTTTCGTTGGCTGCAATGACCCCTTCATGTGTGAGCAAGATTGCCAATGAGTGGAAGAGAGAAAGATAGTGTGGGCGACGTCATCATCATTGACGTCACAGCCTACATCGACAGCGAAAGAGCTAATATCATACGATTAAATGCTGTAAAAAATCGATTATTTTGTATATACAACAAATGCGATGAGCAAGCGCACACGGGCAAACCCCCAAATACAACCACATAAACACCCACACATACAAGCAGGGCTTTTTTAGTGTGTGTAAGTGTATATGTGCCATGGGGCGAGCCCCCAAAACTGGATTCCCAGAAGCATACGACAACAACAAAAAGACCAGAGAAGACAACGAAGGTATAACAGTTGAAGGTGACACCGGAGACCCTGGCGGTAGGACATGTTCATATAACAGTTCTGTAATCCCAACATTGGCTGACGAAATCGGTGGAGTTCAAGGCGTGGCTGGGCGGCTGGTTAAACCCTATCCCTTTCCCAAAAACCCAACTGGAACCAGTTGATTTTTTCATCTGGTACCTTGGCAAAGGGGTTTTAATCCAAAGAACCTGTTATAAACTTCAGAAGCTTTGTAAATGGAATTTTTCTAGAAAAGAGCTCTAGCTTAAAAAAGGAATATATTATTTAGATATCAGAGCGACATGTAATTGGATATTCATTTTGTTTTATTAGTAGTAAAAGGAACCATAAAATTAATGTATTATATATGATGAAATCGTCTTTTATGACGAAATAAAATCGCAAATAATTTCAATCGTATTTCCCTCTGCGAATAATACATTCGAATGTAAATATGTAAGTAAATACATAACATCTACATTTACATATACGCTAGTATAAAAGATTTTTACGACTTTTGTAAATTATATTATAAAACTAAGTCCATCAAAATACCTGCGAGTCTTAAAAATAAATATAACAATAAAAAATACGAGTTCTTTATAACTTTACTAATTAAACTTAAAGTTAACAAGTAAAGTTTAAGAACTCTACTCTCCTTAGCTAAATATTTGGAAGTTTAAATATATATTTCCTTTCTTTGATATTTGTTATTCACCTAACACAATTCAAACGATTTTTTACCACTAATACTACTTTTCTCTGTATCATTTTGATCATTCACAAACAAAGTTTGGGTGCACTTGAAATGATATTTCTCTGCTCAGCTGTCATCATTGCTCATTTTCAAATCGCTGACTCATCGTGTTAATGCACCAATTGTGTGCGGTTATCGTATATATAGAAAATGATATATTTGATGTTTGTATACATATATATACTATATATATAGACTCTACAGTAAAAACTAGTTTGGTTTCCAGAAAATCTGTAAAAATTATTATTTATATTCAAAAGGAAATATCTTTTTGAGAATTTCGAAAGTTTTAAGTGCTTTCATCAGAAATATAAGTTTGCTTTATTGGGAATATCATATATTTGAAAGATCCCCATTGAATAACGAGCACTGTAGTGTTCTACTTGATGAAATGGACTGACACGCCTCTCTTGGAGCCCCCTCCGAGTCAAGTGACTTGGCCCCTCTTTCCACCCCTTAGCACCTCTTCAACCCCCACCGTTCACTATTTCGCATTTCACCAAAGCAATTTCCGCAACTGCAGATAAGAAAAAGAACCACTCCTTGTCTCGTTTGCCATTATTATAATCAAGTTTAATTCATATGTACAAAAGCACCTTTAAAGAGATTGCTATGAACTTGACAGGCAGTTTGCAAGGTTCTTATCAAGTATGTGTAAATGATCTATAAATCCTGATCTTATGGATGGAAGTTTTTCAATAAAAAAAATGCAGGTTTTTGAATAATATATATATATATATTTATATATATATATATATATATTGAGTGTATCTCCCACTTCGGTTTCGAATGTAATATTCATAGTTAAATATTATTTAAGTTTTTATTATAGTTCCGATGGTGGAGCCTACAATGCTAATCACATTTGATTTATAATATCCTGTGGGTTTCTAGGTCTTTTAAAGTACACCCCACTTTGGTTTCAATTATAGTATTCCTTTCTTTTTTTATGTTAGTACCTGTTATATTAATCACATTTGATTTATTATATCCTATAGGGCTTATAAATCTTTTAGAGTATCCCCAGTTTCGGCTTTCAATAAAGTATCAATTTTATTTTTCGATTGTCGACTGTGTGTTCCTGAGTAACGGAACGTGTAACCGAGCCAGATAAACAATTAATCATTTCTGTCGCACCAGCCAACACAAACGCACACACAATCATGTAGACACACCTACGAATATACTGTACATGCACACATTTATAAGTCTTAAAGAGAAGGGGGAGCGTCTTTTTATAATAAACTTCTTGAAATCGTCAAAAAGCCACTGAATTTTTAATGCACTTTGCACTTTGTGATTTTTGGGTTTTATTTTTGGAGCTTTATTACGCCAAACTGGCGTAAACAACTAATGGATTTTGTTATTGTGGCGAAATAATTTCGCAAGACACGTGCAGCACCTTGTGTGGGAGGGAGATGGCGGAACATAAACGGAAAGAGGCAGAGGGAGTTGTAGTTGTAGTTGCTTTGCCCCCAGACGTCATCGTACTCTCGTCCCCTCTCTTTCCATCAGAGGGCGCGTGAGTGAATGGAATATGTTCACAGCAGGGTACAAAATATTAGTAAGCCTTGGTTTCTTACCGCATATGGTTAAGGAGTTATAAAAACTAAATGTCAAAAAAGATTTTTAATTTATCTATTAAAACTAGACGGACTTAAAAATCATGGAACCACCTGACTTTCAGCTACTAGCATATTTCCCTCGACTGTTTGTGTCTGGTCTTGTATAACAGTTATGAGGCCACATGCCAGCACACACGTTTGCAGACATGCCCACTTACAAATATATCTACATCCATATGTATAAAATGTGTGTATGTACATACATATGTACATACATATATTTACATTCGTGAATATACTGAAACTGGTAGTTGAAAACACTTTAGTTGCCGTTGCCGCAATTGCGGACGAGCCTCTTCGCAAAATGTGAAATAAAACGCAAGGTAAAAACAACTATTCTGCAATGTATCGATTAAAATGCAATTGTTTATGAAATCTAGTTTCAAAAATATGAAAAACCTATGGGCAACAACAAAATTCCAATGAATGGAGAACGGAAAAACGAAAGAGAGAGAGAGAGCGGGAGAGAGAAGAGGAAAAACTTTAAATTGGGCGGCACATACCCATACAAGCTAACTGGATGGTTCTCGGTGTAAGGGGGTGGGACGGGGAAGACGAGCCCCACGGCACTGAAATAAAATTCATATGTATGTATGCATATGTACATGCGTATGTACATACATACATATGTATTGTATGTATGTATGTATTTGAGGATGTTGACGCGTCGGCAGAACTTGACAATTCCAAGAAGCGGTAACAGTAGTCTGAAAGAAGGGGGAGAGATGGAGTGGCGACCAACAGCTAAGCAAACTTGCCCTCTCATTTCTGGGTAAAGCCAGCAAGCTCTCTATTTCTCTCTTGTTTCAGCTGGAGTGGCACTGTTATACTAATACATAAGCGGTACTGAGAGAGGGAGAGCTTAAAGAGAGTGGGAGCTCGGGTAGTAGGCGAAGGGGGCTGTTAGGGGGTTCAAGGAACGAAGCCAACACGCAGGCAGCAAAAATAACATAGTGTAGAGGCTTTTAAATGCGCTATAATAATTAAATTTGGAAAAATATTTATTAAGACATAATTTTAGTAAACTTAATTCAGCTCACAGATTTTAGGGCTTCCTATCGTCTGTATAAAAATCAAAAAATCTCCTAGACTAGATTCATAGTCTACTAAAATATTTATGGTACATTTTGTTATAGCAATTAAATGTAATCCAAATATTAATTCATTAACATTTTTGCTTTTTAATATACATAAGTAGAAGAAAAATTATATAAATGAAAAAAATATTATTTAAACAAAATAAATATATTGTAAATAACATTTTTAATAATTTAAGTATGGTATAAGATCACACAAAGACTGATCAGTACAAGATTCCGTTACACCCGACAATGTGTAGGGTATCAATATCAACCAAATTGCTGACGACGACAAAAGGCGGCTCTCTCATAAGCGGAAGCAAAAGAGAGATTCGCCGCCTGGCCCTTGCAGTTCCGCGTTTATGCGATGAAAAGAACAAGATTTAAGAACACGATTGTACGTTCAAATTTCTAATACGATCATTGTGTATCTATTAAATATAATATTATACTTAAAGGAAAGCTCGTTAAAGTTGCAAGAAATCTGATTTCTTATAATATTTATAAAATGAAATAATATAAAATGCTTATATCGTGATCAAAGTAAGGAAAGTATACAAATGTAAAGGAAATTATATTTGATAATTCGATGTTGTGTACAATACGGATGACTGTTTACGCATAAACGCGCGCTCGTCTCTACATCGTCACTCGCTCACTCTCTATTTCGCTGGCCCTCTATATCCCATTTGTAGACCCCAAATATTGCCGTACATATATGCGCCATATCTCCAACCATTCCGCCCCAAAACCGATTTTCAGTTTTTGACCTTCAAGGTTCCTTCACGACGCGCAAACGGGAGAGAGCGCAACGTCGCCGCCGCAGTCGTCGTCGACGAGGGCTGCGCAGCAGCAGCGACAGCGAAAAGTGAGCAAAAGTCGGCGAGTGAATTTAATTCCGTAAAAAACGTTTCGAGCGTTTGGACGCGTGCAGCGGACGAAAATAAAACACGGAGAGAGAGCGTGTGTAAAAACTCAAAGACTCAAAAGACTCGGCAATAGAGCAGCCCCAAAAAAAAAAATAAGAAAAACAGCAAGAATTCACTGAAAATTATTGCAGAAAAGAAAGAAATTGCCAAAAAGAAAGAAAAACATCGCGACTGTGTAAATATACAATTGTAACATTTTTTTTGCCGTGTGAGTGTAAGCTAAGCGAACGAAAAAAAAACTTAGAATGGATCGGGAGCTGAACGGGGCGATGAGAAACGTGTCTATTAATGGCGCCCAACTGAATGGTCACAATAACGGTGGCATTGGCGGTCAAGATGAAACGGACCGCGTGGGCGTGGCGCAAGGAGGCGGGGCGGTACTGAGTGCAACAGCAGCGGCAGCCACAACGACGACAGCTACAAAATCAGCATCAGCAGCAGCTACAAATGTCGCCAAAGCGACAGCCACAACAAATTCAACTCACAGCCCGCAGCAAATTGCACTCTTGTCCGCTGCAGAGAAAAGTAAGATGGTGTACGAGTTATGTCAGCAGCTGCTTTTAACGGACGAACAGGTCCAGGAGCTGTGCTATCGCATCCTGCACGAACTGCGACGCGGTCTGGCCAAGGATACGCACCCGAAGGCGAATGTCAAGTGCTTTGTAACGTACGTCCAGGACCTGCCCAATGGCAATGAGCGCGGCAAGTTCCTGGCCTTGGACTTGGGTGGCACCAACTTCCGGGTGCTGCTTATTCATTTGCAGGAGAACAACGATTTCCAAATGGAGTCCCGCATCTATGCCATACCGCAGCACATTATGATTGGCTCGGGCACCCAGCTGTTCGATCATATTGCCGAATGCCTGTCCAACTTTATGTCGGAGCACAATGTCTACAAGGAGCGACTGCCACTCGGTTTCACCTTCTCATTTCCCCTACGTCAATTGGGCCTGACCAAGGGTCTGTTGGAGACCTGGACCAAGGGCTTCAATTGCGCCGGCGTGGTCAACGAGGATGTCGTTCAGCTGCTGAAGGACGCTATCGCCCGGCGCGGTGATGTCCAGATCGATGTTTGCGCCATTCTCAACGACACCACCGGAACCCTGATGAGCTGCGCCTGGAAGAATCACAACTGCAAGATCGGTCTGATTGTGGGTACCGGTGCAAATGCCTGCTACATGGAGCGCGTAGAAGAGGCGGAACTGTTCGATGCCGAGGATCCGCGCAAGAAGCACGTCCTTATCAATACGGAATGGGGAGCCTTCGGCGACAATGGCGCCTTGGACTTTGTGCGCACCGAATTCGATCGGGACATCGATGTGCACAGTATTAATCCGGGCAAGCAGACTTTTGAGAAGATGATATCCGGCATGTACATGGGCGAGCTTGTGCGTTTGGTGCTGGTTAAAATGACCCAGGCGGGCATTCTGTTCAACGGACAGGACTCGGAAGTTCTGAACACCCGAGGCCTATTCTTCACCAAGTATGTGAGCGAAATCGAGGCGGATGAGCCCGGAAACTTTACCAATTGCCGCCTGGTGCTGGAAGAACTGGGATTGACCAATGCCACCGATGGTGATTGCGCCAATGTGCGATACATCTGCGAGTGCGTCTCGAAAAGGGCAGCTCACTTGGTGTCCGCCGGCATTGCCACTCTGATCAACAAAATGGACGAGCCAACGGTGACGGTGGGCGTTGATGGCAGTGTGTATCGCTTCCATCCCAAGTTCCATAATCTGATGGTGGAGAAGATCTCGCAGCTGATCAAGCCGGGCATCACCTTCGACCTGATGTTATCCGAGGACGGTTCTGGTCGTGGAGCGGCCCTGGTGGCGGCCGTCGCCTGTCGTGAGGACATAATAAAAAGCAAGAAGTAGGCGTGGCGGCGAGATAAGCAGGAGCAGGAGCCGGAGCAGTTGCCAGTAGGCGATAGGAGCCAGGAGGAACCAGGAGAGTCGCTGGAGCAGCTGAAGCAGTCCTAAGAGAAAAAGCAACACACACATACACACACACACACTAAAGAGCAGAGCGAAAAACACCTAGTAAAAGGCCGCGGTGGCGTATGCGTAATAATTACAGTGGAGCCTCGCTAACTCACAAAGGCCCTGCAACAAAACAAACAAAAATAAAGAAGCTGCCACAAAGAAAAGTAATTGGAAAGCCTCCTCCTCCCCAAAAAAAAAAAAAACAAAACAAAACAAATTACATGCACAGGGCATCTGCGAGTTAGTGCGGCTTGACTTTAGTATTTTAATTAGGCAAAAACCAGGTTTTTAACAAGAAACTTAACAGAAAACCCCACTAAGAGACAGAAGATCTGTGGCATTCTATCTCTTTCTCTCCTAGTTAAAGCAAAAAACAAAAGAACGAGATAACTAAAAAAAAACACTATGGATCGATTTTCGATTTTTGTTGAAGATTTGTTATGCTATTATATAGATATATATATATATATATTTATATATATATATTTACAAAAAACATAATATACACACACGAAAAACATAATGTTTGCGTATATATAGTACAATTTGTGAAACGAATTTCTTTTCGATTTCGATTGAGACAAGAAATGGTTTTTTTTTTTTTTTTTGGTAATCCCTCCCCTGAATAACCCGCCTCCCCAAGCCCCCCAAGATAACGGAGATACTTAAGAGCAAGCGAGAGATGAAACTGTTATACTACTGTGCTACAAGCATTCTAGCATATCCTGCAGGAGAACGGAAAGAGAAACTGTAAAACCGCGCACATTGTTAAAGCAAAAACGAAAAAAGCAACAAAAAACAAGCCGCTAACGAAGAGACAGACAAAAAGAGAGAGAGATAGAAAGAGAGATGGAGAAAGAGAGGAATACTAGGTAATGCTACGGTGTCCTTTCTGTAATTGTAAATGTTTATATAGAACCTATTACGAAGCGTTATATGATAATACTGCATACATATATATTTACATATATATATACATATATAAATATGATATATTTAGCCACTATATTACTAATTTTTTTTTTGTAATGTATTGCTTGTCTTTGTTTAGTGAATTTGTTTGTTGTTAACACTTAAGCAGGTAAAAACTAAAAAAAAAAAAAAACTGTTTTTTTTTTTCCTTTTGATATAGAAACGCACTTTGTGAGCTATTATTTATGTAATTGTACATTTGACCTAGTTTAGTGTTTAGTTCTTATCTTAGTTTCTAAATGTCGTCGAAGAAGCCCGCAATACAACCAATATATATCCCCACCCCAATCCACCCAACCCACAGAGCCCTTAATTATATTTAATTATTGTTTACGAACAACAACAACAACAATGGAGGAAATGCGAGAACCGAAAGGCAAATAAGCGAAATGAAAAGCAAATAAAATTTGTTCTTAATTCATACACAAGTAATTGTTATTTATTTTCAATATCTTATGATTTGATATTATTTGGTTATCAATATGATTTGGTTTTGATTTCTCATCATTTTTGCAGCTGCTGGCCGGCATGCTCAGGCTCAGGCAACAACAACAACAACAAACTTTAAAAATTCGCAATCATGGCAAAAAACGAAGACACATTTTTTTGGTCTAATAATAAGAGCAGGGGAAGCCTAAGAAATATGTTATAAAGAATATAGGAAGAACGAACCAGTGTTTCTATTTTTCAACAAATAAACAAACAAACAAAAAGAAAAGATTGTAAAATAAACTTAGCCCATGTTAAAAGATTAAAAACAAAGAACTTTCGTTATCAAAAAGCGATTTAAACATAAACTACTAAAAAAAAAAAAAAACCAAAACTAAACACACAAATCGAAGGCTTGGAGAAGATGAAGATGAATTTAGTAAATGATATAAACAAATGGAATGTTTGTGGACAGTGAAACAAAATAAAAACGATTGAACCAAACAAGAAAGAAAATCAAATGGCAAACAAAATATATGCGTGAAACGTGTTCTTTTGGGTCTGTCTAATATTTTGTGGTATGTATTTGTTTTGCCGCTGCAATTTGAATTATTTCTGTTGCTGCAAACTAAAATTATACATCATCAGAGGCAATAACAATCAGTCAGCACTTTGCTAGCTCAATTTTGTTATTTATATTACTCGACCATATGGTACCCTACGATCATATGGGCATATAGCTTCTGGCAGCTGGTTTGTTTCGGCATTATAATAATATGTATAAATTGAAGACTGAAAGAAACCACTTTTATTAATAGATATCATCCATTATTCTCCTCAGTTCACAATCTTATTTGCCCAGCTGGGTACTTAAATACATTTTTAAAAGGTTTTTTAAAAATATTTTTTCTGTAATCTATACTCCATTCTGAACTGAGTTTTAACCAAAACGATGAGGGTATAAAACTGCCTTAGATAATCGACAAAGTATAATTAAAAAATGTTATAAAGTTGTCTCTAATTTGACTTTTTATAATATAACATTTAATTTTAGTAAGGTTTTCCCTTCTTTATATTACAGGGCATTTCCACTGTCGCAATCAGCCGCCGCTCTTGGGTCTTACGTAGTCTTTCGCTGCTTTTGTAGTCCATTTTAAATTGAATCATTTGCAGTCGAGTTTTCGTTTGACGCATTTGAATTACAAGTGCTGGACGGCGAGGCAGACAAAAGGCTTGATTGAGCCATTGATCGTGGAAGTGGTGGGGGGGGGGGAGCAGGGCTGATCGTTCGATAATCGCCAAAGTCTCTCTCTATGTCTCTATAATAGTTGATTGGAATCGAATGTGAATGAAGGGGCAGGCAGTGGTGGCTGGGGAAAAAGTAGGTACTTATACCTACGCTGGACTTGAGTTCCGCGAAAGTTGTTTATAGAATTTCAAATGAAAACGATTCTCGTGAAACCGCGAAAGACGAAACGGGATGGCAATAAACAGTGCAATCTCAGCCAAGTCGCGATCACGTTTTACTGCGGCACAAACCCAATTTAAATATCTCGAATGCAAATTTCAATTTACAAATGCTGAAAGCAATTCCAGCTTGCCTTATTGGCGTCGGGAATCCCAAATTGGTGATACCCTTTGGGTATTAACCAGATCGAAAGTGAGATGTCTCCATGTCTATACTACGATCCATTATAACATTAATTTGATATTGAAAGTTATCAATGAAGGGTGAGAACCCCTATTTATTTTTAGCCTTTCAGCGAATCGCTTTTAGTTCCAGAGCTTTGAATGCACTTGAAATCGCATTGCACTTGCCTTAACCCTCCCCAACAACCCCACTTAGCTCCAATTAACACCTGATGCCCTTGATTGTTGCTCGACACCTCATCTCACACCCCGCTCTCAACCAACTATTCTTATCTGCCACCACTTGTGGCTTATCAGGGGCTCACGCCCTCTCCAATGCAATCGCCGTGCAACGTCAGTGATAAGGGTGTGACTTTTCTGGAAACCCCGATTAACCGCCCACCACCCACCAATCAGTTTTCGTTTTAATTTCACTTGATTGTGGCTTTTCAGGAAAAGAAACTTCTCGCGAACACCGCTGCGTATGCGCAATTTGATATCATGCGATAATGGAAGATGGCCTGACTTCAAATTACAAATACTTTTCGGTTTCAACAAAATCTTTGCAACATGATCATATTCTATGATATCAATAGCAGTTTTCTATATACTTATATTAAGTCTTCTGCCCACAAAGCTCTTTCATTCCACAAGTAAATAATATATAGCCAGAAGTTAAATAATTTATCAAATTATCGCTTATACGTCACCGTGCCAGCGAATCAGGTGGGCGTTGACCACGCCCCAGCGCAGAACAGCGACCGCCTTCTACGTCAGTTGAAAGAAGATTTATCATTGGACGATTGGCGAGACAACGAAATTCTTTTCAACATTTTCAAGAGCCCTGACAGCTGTTTTGTTGTTGTCGCAAATTTTCGCGTTAATTTTGCGGCAATTTTACAAAATATGCTTTGTATTTTCGGTGCGCCCAGTCAGAAAAAATAGAAATATCGAAAAGATTGTTTTTTCGCTGAGATAGTTTCAATGTGCTGTTAGCCAGAGAATCGAAAACCAAATACGCAATAATAAAAAAGATATATGTATGTAGAAAAAAAAAGGGGGCCAGCCAGAGCAAGAGAGGTTGCAGAACTTTTGACGTCTGACAAAAATTTGCTCACTTGATCTGTTAGCTATCTGCTTCTCTTTTCCGCATTCTCTGTCTCGATCTCGCAACGTTTAGAGTATTGCGTTTGTTGTTATGCAAATCTAGCTAAAAAGCATTTCAAGCGACAGCAAAATGCAATTTTCGAAAGTGCGAAATGGAAATGCAAAAAACGAAATGCGAAGAAAAAGGCAACAATCATGTGAGTGTCAAGCAACAACAGTTGCCTCTCGCCTGTATATAATAATCACATTCAATATTTATACTCACAATGTTCTGAGTTTGTTTTACCCATTTCTCATATTTTTTTATACTTTGTTTTTCACAATTTACAGGAGAACGATTGGCTGACAGTCTACTAAGCACAGTGCTCTCGTAAATTATTTGCCTTCATTACGAACACTTGTCATATGAAAAAAAATACATAAATTGGTAGATAAATAAATAATAAAATATAGCATTTATGATAAATGTTGGAATTTGTGGGAATACAATACTCATTTACAAAGCAAAACTGTGCAGTGTGGCCTTACATCTTGAAGAATTTACGACAGAAAGTTGCTAGCATGGTCACACTTTATCATACTATGAAAGTAGGCTCAAAAATTTATATTACAATAATTTCTTTCACTTTTTGTAACGTTTTAAGTAACACTTTTTAATATTCATTAAAGAATTGTTTATCTTTTTTATTTAATTTTGTAACAATATTTAGCCAAAGACTTGTCATTGTTTGTTACATTTAGTTCAAACTTTCACTTGCGGATACGGAATGCAAACATAAATCGAAATCTTAAAGCTGTTCGGTAGACTTAAACCAGTTTAGATGAATGCAGTTCGCATATAATCATGGCAGCCACGTCAAATGACAGGAAGGAGCAACGTCAAACGAAATGTTTGGGGTGGAAAAAGGGGGTACGCGCTTTTCCAGGAACCAAATGCCCAGTGCTGAATTTACAGCCTAATCCATTCTCTAAAGTTAGGGATTTTGAAATGGTACTAATACATAATAATAGCCAACTTGGTGATGGAAAGATGGGCTAACATCTTAGTTTGATTAACACAAAATCGCTAATAAAAAGGTGTTGTAACTTTTCTTCATAAATAGTCGTGTCCCTAACTATTTAATAACCGCGAATTCAAATCGAGATAAACCTTAGATCAAATTCCAGTTCTATTTCTGGTTTGACATTCTTTGACATTCTCTTTCTTTTCCCCAATCCAAAAAAAAAAACTTAGAAAACGGGCCATATCTCAGATATCAAATCTTATCGTTCGGCAGCGTGATAAAACCTTTGATTTCTCACTCGGTAGCTTTGACTTGACAATTGCAATATTCTACGATTGCCCAGATATGGCGTATAGAGATTGCCAGCTAATCACTTGATGCGAGTGTATTTCGAGAGTCAAGATCTTGAAAGAGTTATATCTATATATTATATATATTTAAAATATATAGTATTACTCAAACAACAAAGTCAAATTCCCCACTGGGTTGGACATTTTTGCCACCACCAACATTCGAAAGCCACAATCAACAATCATCCACAGATGGTTGCCGTCATTTCCTTTGGCGATCTTGTTTTATTGCCGTTGTTTTCAGCGAATAATTGGGGTTATTAGTTTATAACTCTTTTGTTTTTCAGCGCCACGAAAAACAATTTGGTTTGCCTAATTGAAGCTGCTTTTTTTTTTCGGTTTTCGCCTGGTGAATACTTTCGAGTGCCCGGTGATCGTGTGCCTTGCTGGGAACTTCGAGTAATTAATTTTCCGCTAAATTGCTTTAATTACATTTCAATTTAAGCTGGCAAAAATCAACTAAAAATACAAATAATTGTCAGACGACAAAAAGCCCAGAAAGAATGAGTAATTAAAATAACAGGGAAAGTACAGGGAATATATATAGTACTTAGTATGCGATGAAAGCAATTGAGTGATATAATACGGCTAATTAAGATCAAGATTATATGGGATACGATGATACCCATTGTCACAAAGTTATTTTTGCATTACGTAAAACCGAAGAGTGCAATAAACTCTAAAAATATGGTCGTAAACCTTAATTATTACCAAGGTAATTATTATTATTTTTAAAGCAAGTTTTTAAAACATCGTTAATTAACAAAAAAAACTGTGTTTAGCCATAACACTCAAAGTCATTGATATTAGTCTTGCATAACCAAAAGCAATATTAACTTAAAACAAAAACCGTAAGTCATCATAATAAATAATATGGGTAAGCTGAGCTAATTAGAAATAAATC